TATTTGTACGCAAATAATGTCACTTTGCACTTCTTTACAACTAAGCAACAATATCTCTGTAATTTTTTATATTTTAAAAATTAAAAAAATATTTTAAAAGTAATTTGCAGTAATTAAAAGTAATTAAAATTAAGAAAGATAGAAAGAAAAAATGGAATCACTTTACATTCACTTCACACTTTTACTGTTCTTTGATCAATAATAAAACTTCAAAAAAGTGATGTTTCTTTCTACAGCCACAACAATGTTCGTGTAATGTAGCATGTAATTGCAATCAACTTTCATTATTAGCAAAACTATGCCAATTAACCTGCAGAAAATTATGCACGTAATTCATAGAGAATAATTAACGATAGAACAATTCACAAATAAGGGCTTCATAAATTGCAAAAATAAGAAAATCTTATCTGAAGAAAAAATATGATATCTTTAAAACGACTAAAAGAAACTAATCTTATGGTTCGGTTCTTTTGGCGAATAAATTTAAAAAATAAAGAAGTACGATTGAAATTAATTGTTTCAAATGTTGTGAAATCACTATTTTTCAGGCTTCTGCCGGTTTCCGCACTTACTTGTCAGTAAGTCTGAATCAATTACCGCCAATCAATCATTTCCCTTAAGATTTTTGCTTCTCTAAATACTCATTTCAAACACAATTACGTCAATATCAAATATCCGATTGCTCAAACTTTATGATTTTCAGATCCCGATTGTGTGGAAAGCAGTATAGCCAATACCCCCTCATTTTATCCTTTTTGAACTTCATGGTAAAGTGTACACAGCGGAATTAACCGTTTTCATTATGTCAAAAAAAATTAAAAAGACAATGCACACAATCATGTGGAATGGAATGACTTATGTGACAGTTGCGCCAGTAGAGGCTTTAGAATTGACAGCTTTAACACCACAATATCAACTGACAGTTTCAACCATTCAAATAAACAATCTATTAAATTACATTTTACAATGCTCACAACATCGCACAACGAATTACCACGAGGGCTATACGCTTGCAAATTGATTTGCCAACAATATTATTTTATTTCGGAAGTGTAAGATTGTATTGTATACAGCCAAATGAATTTGCGTGCATTTTCGTAATGCAATCAAATACCAGGTAATATCGGCATCTGCTTTACATCGGATACCACAACAAAAATTTATTTCGATACAATGATAGCTATTTTGATAGCAATTAATTTTTAGTCTCAAATTAGAGTTAAAATTCAGATTAAAAATTTCAAAAATATCAGTAAGCACGTATCACTAATTTTAAAAATTGTTGACACATGCTCATCTGATATTTTGCGATTATTAATTTCAAAATTGAATATATTTGAATATTGTCATTAATTACTATCTCAATTTACAGACTGCTGAATAATTGACCAATTCGAAAATCATGTAACTATACATCTAATCAAGCTTCATTCCTTCAAGCCAACAGTATTCATAGGTCCCTAAAAGCCACCTGTGCTCAATTAGTCATCCCACATCTAAAATTTCATATATTCTAACAACATTGAAGAAAGCAGCAATATGCGTCACAGTTTGCAAACCCTTCTCGCCTTTTTGCATGCATTACTTGCCTTCCTGCATGCATTACTTCAAAGCGCAATCGTTATTGATTCCGTTGATAGGGTTTTTTCTTAATAATATGCATGTTAATGCAGTCGATATGATATGATTGCTATTCAACAGTTCATTTTCTTTTCGGAAATTTCTTGTGAAATATCTTCAAATTATTATTTGTTAAAATTATAGTTTCAAATTTAGGCAAGCGAAATATTCTTATCAAGCATCGTCGCACTATCAACGTCAAATTACCTTACGAATTGCATCAATATGAATGTGCACGTAACAATGCTTGCAACTTCAATTTACCATTGATACCTTGAAAGTTAGCATGTCAAATACAACGTGCCAATATTTGTTGATAATTTATGATCCGCTATTGTACTGTCAATTTTTACGTGCTAGTGAATGATATTCTTCAATTATCAATATTTAACATATCATTTCAATGATTATCATTAATTACTATCATTTATACTTATCATCATTTTGATTATTTAGTTACTGCTACTTTTCTCAATACTATTTCATTCACTATTCATTTTCATCCAAAAGGTACAGAACTGTAATTTCTACCTTTACAGGTAGAATTTAGTGTCTAAAATAACAACAATCTTTTTTATTTCATTTCATGAAAAATGCTTTCATAAAGATAATATGCCAATTTTTTTCAAATTTAAATTTAAATGAAAAAAGAAATTAATTGTTATGATATCATCAAAACGATATCTTATCTTCGTCAAAAAAAAGTTTGTTAAATTTTTTCATTTTATTTGAAAATAATTTGTTCAAATAATATTTAATGAAAAATTAAAAATTTTTGTTTTAAAATTGCCACATCATTTTTAAAAATGTTTCGGTTATTTTTGTCTTTCAACAAACAAAAACAATAATAAGGAATTGTTTGTTGAAAAAAAAAGAAGAAATTGATCACGTGTTATTGCCAGCTACTCTTTCCCTTTGCTGATTTGACGATATTAGTATGTGTGTAGCTTGAATGATGAAATGAACTAAAACCGCTTAGCAATGAATTATGAATGTTGAAGAGGAGATAGATAGTGATGAGTAGAGAGAGGTTCAGCTCAACAACTCTCTTGCTATTTCATCCATCTTTATTGCTATTCCAAACTTATCTGATAAGAGGAGGTTCATTTGATGCTCGAAGTTTCAATTTTATTTTTTAAACCAAAAAAAAATTTTCACCTGTTTTTAATTAAATTTTTCGTAGCATTGATATTAGAAAAAAAAGACCAATCAATATTGATTGATCATTTATTGAGGATAAAAGATAAGAAATCCTTCTTCTCATTCTCATTTAACGTTTATTTTCTTCAACATATGATCGAGTCGATCTGAATTGGCGCAAAAAAGATCACACAGATGGAGGAAAACTTGGCAAATATTCATTCGTTGGATCTGTTATGAAAGTATTTCTTTATTATTTCCCTCTCTAAGATATCTCTCATTAGTAAAGAATAATTTTGAATTAATTGTCTCGAAGATATCTCTCATTAATAAGGGATAATTTTGAATCGATTGAATACAATTAATTCGTATAAAATAAATTGTTTTTTTATTCAAGCAATATCTATTGTTTATCTATAAAATCATTCTCTTAAGATTTCAAGCCAACTGTGTAATTAAATATACTTCATTTGCATATATTTTATACATTTGCATAATCTTTTCACCTCCCTTCCTCTCTCTCTCTCTCTCTTTCCATGCAAATAGAAACATCTAATATTCAAATTAACTGAAATTTGAGAATTAATAATGAATCACAAATTGTAGTTCCAAAATTAAAGCTTATGTAACTGTTAATTGTCACTAAAGAAATAATAGTAAAGGGAATGAATAATAATATTCTTTATTGTACTCTTTTGCTCATCTTATTTCCATTCAATTAAAATTTAAATACTTTTTCAAAATTCACTTTCGCTAACTTCTTTTACAAGAATCATTATGAGAGAAGGTTTATTAATTATTATAAATTCTGAAAGGCATTAGGTATTGAGATGTTTGAGGGAAAATAGACTTCGGATAACAGATGTTTTCCAGCTGTTATCCCAAATGTTCGAAAATATTGCTTTTACTGATTGATATTAAAAGTAAAAGAAGTAAAAAGCTATTTTACAAATCTGTTTCTAAAATTTCATATGTTTTGCTTAAAAATTTTAATTTCTAATTTTTCATTAATTCTTGCGTAATTGTCACTTTCTTTACTTTCCAAGGTAAGAGTAAGACAAATGATCTCTTAATGAATCCATTTACGATAATATTTGAGCATATTGAAATTTCGTTAATTTAAAAACTACTAAATTGAGCATTTCAAGTTAGAATAAAATATGATTTACTAAAAATATATTTTCAACATTTTAATTTCGAAAGTTAAACGGCAAAAATTTATTGCAATAGTAAAAATTTTAGCTTCTTTAATTAATTCAAATTTTTAAATTCTTTTTAATATCTAATATTTATTTTTTCAAATTTCAATTACTCCAAATATTTTCCTATTGATGAAACTTTGAGATTGTTATAAGTCGTCGTTACACTTCCTATATTTACGTCAGAATGTAGAAAAAACATTGAAAGTACAGCAAAATTTTATTTTGTTAAGCAAAATTCTCGAATTACATCAAGCCATTTTTCTCATTGTTATTCGAAACACTTTCCGACAGCTACCATTGCTATCATTCTCGTCATCATAGCAATCAGAAAACATTGTTTAAAAAAACATTTGAAAATGAAAAAAGCATATTTGATAAATCGATCAGCACAATATGCTTAAAATATAAAATCACTTTTTACTTCATCTCAAATATGCTTTTGCTAACATTTACTTATCTCTACCTTCACCTCACTTCAAATAATCAAATTTTTATTTTTTTTTCCTAATCATAATTACATATTGTTCATATCACAGATTTTCAGCTATTACGATAGTATCGATTGTCGTATATAATTGTTGCTTTATAAGAATGCAATGAATTTGAGTAATCTAAAATAGTGCTTTGTTCAAAAAAAGAAAAATTCAAATTAGAAATTAGAAAGTTACGTAAAAAATTTCAGCGTGAATTTACGGAACGTGAATACGTGATATACAATTAATGTAATTATTAATGTAATTAGTGAATACGTGATATGCGTTTAATCATACCTTCATTTGCATAGAAATTTAATTGCGTATTTCATGTTAATTTACTTAATTTGCTTAATAAATTATTTTTAAAATTATTTAATTATTTTTCAGTTTGGGCAAATAATCTTTTTTGACTACAAAAAAGTAAAATTTAATTAAATTTCTGATCAAATAGTTAAAATAAAATGTATTGAATCATTCATACAAAGATTGCTGCAATATCCCTCTCTGATAACGACGAACTATATTTTTTTCTTGAAGTCTATAACTATTTGATAGACAAAAAATGGCATATGAAACGATTACGGTACGAATGAATCGGAGCAATAGTACGATCTCGTGGGGATTTACTGTAGCCGGTGGAGGTGCTATGCCTATCAAAATTTCCACTGTATGTTAAAAATTTTCATTTCCTTTTTTTCTCTTTACACTTTTAAAATGAATAGCTTTTTTTGAAAATTAAATTTCAAAAAATTTTTATGATGACAAGAAACACAATTATACATTATTCGATTATCAGATAGTTTAAACTTAATCTCAAATTTCAAGTATAACTTATTTGACATTTAACCCTTCCACTTCATATAAAATAATCGATGATAACTAATAGAGAGTTCTGATTTTTGCTGGGAAAAATTTATAAATATAACATGGAAGGAGATTGCTGTACAAATTCTTCTCGCACTTGTAGATTGATCAATCGTACTACTTAAATCATCGTCTTCAATCTTAGTCAATTAATTCATTGCTTGATGAAATATCAAATTATTCTAATCTATCGTTGAAACATATAAATTGCGGCTATAGCAGTGAATCGTTATTTGTTTTCGCTAGTAATGATCAAATCGTAACAAATACTTCTTTGCTGTTTCAAAATTATAATTCAAACTAAGGAAGAAAAAAAGATTGAACAAAAGAGAATTTAAAGAAAGTGGAAGAGAGGAAAGAAAATGAAAGAATTGAAAAATTTCTTTAAAAAAATATTTTATCATCTCAATTATGTTTTCTTTCAATCGATAAAACAAAATAACTAATTAATTTGATTTCAAAGATCGTTTTAATTTGAATTTAATTTAAAATATCAAAAATGATGAAGCAATATGATTCTAATAGAATACGACTCGTATATATTGTACATTCGTCGTATTGCAGCGAACACGTTCACTTCCAATATTATATGTTATTTAGCTGTAAAAATATGAATTTGTTAAATAATGAATGACAGACATAGATATGACAGAGAAAAAATATATATATATTATATACTTCTTAACAAATATTACCAACTATATGAGTTTTCTTTGTGGCTTAAGTCGATCTTAGATAATAGTTATTTCTAACAAATATATCCGTGTATGTTTCAGGTTCAAAAAGGAAGTTTAGCAGAAAAAGCTGGATTACAAATAGGAGATACGGTGACCGAATTATCCGGTCGTGTCACGAAAGGGATGTCACTTCAGGAAGCTAAAAATATTGTCGAAAAAGTTTCACTCGAAATTCATATGCTTCTGCAAAGGTTTTTCTTTTTTCAAATCAAATTTTATTTATTCTTTGACAAGTATAAATGTTGTTGCAGATACGTTAGCGAAAATAAATATAAACATATATGACGACAGTTTCATTTTATTTATTTCCATTTATTATTAATCCTATCATCATTATAATTTTACTAGATTCTTCTACTTAAAAGTTCCTCACAATTTTGATTATTAGTTAAAATAAATGATAAAAATGATAAAAAAATCAATGAAAATCATTATATCATCATATGAGATGATTTTCAAATGCGATAAGTGAGACATTGGTATATATGAAAGTGTCAGAAAATTTTATTAAACTCTGAACGATTTGCTAGAGACCTAAATTGGATTAAGTCCAGAGACAAGAGCCTAATAAAATACTATTTCATCTTCTATTCAAAGCCTTATTAATCAATCATTTGAAATTTTAGGCGGGTAACAGAGCATTCATGTTTACCGTGGCAGTTAACGGAGAAAAATAATCAAATAACAGTGGATCATATCAACAAGCCTCAAACTGTCAATTATAATTATTACAAAGTAAAAAATTTAACCATAAAATTAAAATTTAAAAGAATGATGTGAAAAAAAAGAGATGATTTTCAGAGTGAACGAAAAAATATATCGCATTCAACATCGAATTATGAAGTACCGATCATGGATGAATCATCCAAATATCGCACATCTTCATATAGTAAATATGAGGTTAGTATTTCATTAAGTTTAATAGCACCTCTTAAAAGATGCAAATGAAAGTATTTTTTGTGTGAAGTCGAATGTCACAATTTCTGTAAGATATCGAAAACATTGATGAATATAAGTTCAAAAAAATTACAGAATTAACTAACCTTTTCCATTTATTTAGTCTTATTCCATTCTTTTAACAGTATTTTCAAACATGAAATATTTGTCCCAATGAAATTTTCAAAAAGAAAAAAGGAAATTACAGGAAAATTCTTTGAATCGCCCACTCAATCTTAACTATCAATCAGTTGCTCCATTTACGAATGTGACAAATACTGAATCTTCATATGCTGAAGGCAAGCGCTTCGAGAATAGCTATAATACCAATATTAACAGGTATTAATTAATTTAACTTAATTGCGGACACTATAATATTAATTTATTATTGGATTGATGACTTCAATTTTCTTAAGTAAGCATTCCTTGTCTTATTAATGGAATAAAAAAATCAGAATTATAGAGCAGAATTACGCAGTGCGAGTGGTTCTGATAGCAAGTCAACGTCAGGTATGTCACGTGATGTACCGATAACGCTTAAGACCTCTACTCCCTCTGCTCCACTAATGACACCAAACAGTAACATAACAACTGGTTCGGAAAGTAGAATTTATGGCCCAGTTCATGTTGATACGAGCAATGCCTACAGTAATGTTGGATATCCTTCTTCTGATTCTGGCGGTGGACATCGTCCAGCAAAAAATATTCCTATAAAACCACTATGGCAAGATACTGGACGTAAGTTCCTTTTATCATCTATCACTTTCAATAATATGCAATATGATGGAGTAAAATAAGTTAACAATAAATAATACATAAATCTGTAAAATATTACACGGCTAAAATAAAACTAAGTCAAGAAGCATATGAAATAATGCGACTGTTTCAACGTGAAATAATGCCATAATAGAAGACACGGACGTAAAATTCTTTTTAGATGCTATTTTTAGCTTTTTAGAAACAATATATTTATTTTAAACATAAATAATACTGTTCGAAAATTTTAAATTATTATTTAATGCTTAAATTATCGTTTATTTTAAGTATTTCACATTTCGTGAATATTTTTTTATAATACTTTAAACTTATATATTATTATTTTTTTACTATCATAACATATGCCAACAATTTTACGTTTTTTACAGCACGAATATCATTTCAACATTCACCACGTACCGAACGTCAATTATCCCCGCATGCAACAATACGTCATCTACAATATAATTCTCCAATTAATTTGTATTCACCACATACTGCCGCTGAACAATATATTCAACAAACTGGTGGACTTTTCGGCACTGAGTAAATTTTGTGAACTTTTCAGCATTGAATAAATTTTACTTATGATGAAAAAAATGCAACTTGAAAATTGTTTACATCCAATATTTCCATTGGAATGGAAATAGAAAATTACTGTTGAAATTATTGAATTTATTTTTATTAATAAAATTTTGATTTCCACTTAAAAAAAAGAAGATTTATGTATTTATCAAATATTTAGCCCATCATTGCAACAACCGAAAGGTGATGAAGCTTATCTAAAGTCCGAAACACGCCGTCTGATAGCAGAACAGGAGGGTCAAAGTGCACACGACAAATCCCCATCAATGCAAAGTGCGAGTTTCAAACGAATATCCCGTGCATGTGGTACTCCCGTTGACTAAAATAAGTACTAGATAAGGGAATTGCTATCTTAACTGACATAATTTTCGGGTTTTTGATTATTATCAGAATAATCGTCTCTAAAACCAAATTCTCTTTAAATCTTTATAGAATTAAGAAAGGTTCTCTCTCTCTTCCTCGTTAATCGGTTCGATATAACTTTAATATTTTTAACCATTTCAATGTTGGAATTAATAAGTTCATTAAAATAATATCGGCAGCATGCGTACGCTTAAAATGTAAATCAGAACGTAGGAACATCCCAGGAATATAAAAAAGAAAGAATTATGGAATAAATAAAATTCATGAAATATAAAATATGGATTAAATGAATAAAGTTCATAAAATATGACTAACGTTCATTTCTCCTTTCTATGCATACAATTAAGATTATTTCTACCGATAACTAAGGCTGATTTTTGGCAAGCAAAATGAATTGGCTGAAATAACACGGGAAAAAGTGTAATTATTGGATAGGGAAAATGTTGCGTTTATTAAAATTTAGTTAATTTTCCTTTGTTTGTTCATGGCAAGCAATGAATGATCTTGTCATCTGCTTATATAACAATGATGAGTTGATAAGGTATTTAATTTATTCAAAAAATAACTGTTTATTGGAAGATCCTTGGTAAGTAATACTTTCGTGACTGCGTTCTTTGATAGTTATTGATATTTACTGATAGCATATTGTGCTTGCTTCTCTTGCTATTTTTGATATTACTGATCGATCACTTACATCATAACTTAATTTATTTTAACACACTTATCATTCTCCTTCTAATTGTAGCATTACTTAACTATTTATTAACTAAAATATTTATTTAATATAATTTTACAAGAATTTAATTCATAACAAAGCTTAATTCCAGACTCATTCATTTTTTTAAAAGCAATTCTTTGGGATTTCAATTCAAAAAGATTGCAATTGAAGAATAATATAGAGCTTATTTAAATTATCATTTCAAGATAAAGTGATAGAAAAAATTTGGGCGATCATATCAACAGCACCAATTTCTTTTATTATTCATTACTCATTAGCAATACAAATCATGATATTTTATAGTTTTAATATTTTCATAGCCTATAAACATTTAAGCTTCATCGTATAGATTCAAATTTATATTTTATATGTAATTCATGATATTCTATCGTATCTCTTCATAAATGTAATGATAATTATAGCTCCTGGTATTTATGTTTTTACATTTGAAGCTCAAATGTGTCCTTATTTTATAATGCTTGGAGATGCTCTATTTTATGCAATAAAATATTGTATTCCAGTATCTGAGACGCAGAATATTTCACATTTTACAATCTTTTGTGTATTTTAGGGAATCGAAAAGATAATGATATAGGATCGATAAGAATGTTTTAATACGCATTTTAAATTTCACTGGTACCTAAAGGCCCTGTACAAAAGATATCTGTTCCTTTAAATTTGCCATTATATTATACTTTTATCATCGAAAGCGAGCTAATCATTTTTAATCAGATTGATCAATTAATGAACAGTCCTTTTAGGACCGATAAAGAATTTCAAAAAAATTCGTTTTTATTCAAAGGCCTACAAGAAAAGATTTCGGTTTCTAATCAGCGCATTATTTTCTTCTTTAGAAACATTGAAACAGTGGAAGAAATTTATTATCAGAAACGTTTCCAAAAACTTTGAAGTAATAATTTCCCATATGCATTTTAATTTGAAAATTATATTCATCAAACAAAATACTGCATTTGTGATACTGCATTTTAAGTAAAATACTCAGTGTAATTTCTATAATAGAATTAATGATCTTAACAATCATTTCTTGGATACAGCAATTTTTTCCAACTATTCGATCAGGTTAACTTGAACCTATATGAAATTAAAAGTCATCTAAAATGAAACTATCCACAATTTATAGATGAGTACTTCCTGATATCAAAAAGAAAAATTGATAGTGAAATAGACAGAGCCATTTTTTTTGTTTAATTTTTCTTAGTAATTAGTCATTCACTGTTGCACCATAGTTTATTGATGAAAGTGCCTTTCAACATTCAATCTAGTATGTAAGATTTCCCTATGATATTATTTATAAAATATCATATGAAACTGTGAAATATAAATATTTCTATAAAAGAATCAAAGATCTAACAATCTTCTTACACTACTAATCAATCTGATTTAAATTTATAATTTCATTTCATCAATTCAAGGAAATTAAAAAGATTTAATCGAATAACATAATCAATACTAACCTCGAGATGTTAAAAATACGAGAAGATATGGGCGGGCCAAGCCGCGATAACGAAACGGAACAATATCCTCGTATAATATTACTAAAAAGCAACTGGCATTAAATGATGTTGATTTAGAGTTGTTAATAGTTTATTCATTAAAAGATTTCGTTTTCAAAATATAACTTTAGAGTATTGCTGCATATATTGATGATAAGACTTTTATATAGTACATTATAGATAAACTTGGATATTTTAGCTAAATGATTTAACACAATAATTCTATGATTTTTTTTTCCTATGATATGTAGAAATAGTTTGAAAGAAAGAAGAGAACTATTCATTCTCTGCAGGACATTTAATAAAAGATAAAATGCTTTCGTTATCAGTAATATGGTACAATTTTCTTGTATACTATTAGGTATTATTTGTTAGTTATTCTTCGCAAACAGTAATAGTTAGTCATTGTCGTTATGTGACTTGTGTTCCAGATAACAAATATTGCTTGTTATCTGCTGATATAATCAGACTAACTGATCTTTACCACATACTACAAACTTTTATGACTTTGTTATCAGTAACTGTGAACATTTTCATGCATTTTATTAGATTATAAAATGAGTGTTGGAAGTTTCAAATTTAGCAAAATTTCATTCATTTTATACAAATCATGCTATTATTATTTAAATATTAATTGACAATAGATGAAACAATAAGTTCATACATTTGGGATATGAAATTTAATGTACAACAATTACTTATTATTATTTTTACTTATTGATAATTGCTGAAATTGCATAATGAATAATATATTCTCATTTTTTAATATCAAATTTCTTTTTCCAATTAATTCTAATCCCTTAAACAATTTATTACATTAACAATCGTACAACAGTTTCTTTTATTAGGTTAATTTTCGTCGTTAAAATTTATGTATGCAATACCAAAATTAATGGAGTTCGAATTGATTGAAATGTCAGTTTTTTAGTACAACACCTCATTGCTACTATTATCTTGAATGGTATATATCATAGACTAATTTATTAAAGTGATTAAACAATGAATTGTAATTAATTTAAATTGTTTTGTTGCAATTCATACTAGTGATAATTTATGCAAAATTTCATTTTCTTCAATTTAAAATTCTTTCTTAAAACTATAAAATTAATCAAGCCTGAATCATTCCGAAATTATAAACAAACAACAATGTTACACGCCAAAAGTTCCACATAAATCTTCTGTTCCTTGTTTATTCCAGCTGATGTTATCCTAAATTTAATTTCCATGGTCACTTTAACAATAACTACTCGGAAGATGGCATCCTTTATTCAAGCACCGATGCGGAAAATCGAAATATAGAATTAATCACTTCCCTAATTCATCGAGTTATGCGATAGTTTGCTTAAATAAAAAACGAGAAAAAAGCAGCTAAATACATAAGCTTATTCCGTATCGTCGAAAAGTACACAAATACAACGCTGCAGCAGTTTTGTAAGTTAATTGTTGCAGTTTTCATATATTTTTTGATATTGCTTCTATTTTTCATTTTGTTTTTAATTTAAAAGAGCCTGAAAAATGCATCAACTGTGAACCTCGAAATTGAAAAATGAGCAACAAAATGTTTTTTGGAAGTAACTAAAATTGTAAAGCTTTTTCTTCCATCCATTGATGATAGTCAAATCGCTCAAACAACATTTTAACAAGAATTTCGTTTGATTTTTTTCAGAGCTTTTGTTTCTGTCTTTCTTTGAAAAGAGTAATAGTTTCGCCCACCATAAGAATATTGTTTAAAAAATTTGATTTTATAACTTGCTTATTCAATCATGAAACGTGAACAGAATTACAACGATCACCAAGTCGAAAAGGTATAGATAGAAAATAAATGGGAGGGTAGAAGAAATTTTATTTGCTAAAAATGCGCCGAGAATTGGGAAAGCATCATTGATTGCAACCTTTATCAAATCGTATATTATCAATATCTGAACAAATTAAATCTAATCATATTCACATAACTCTTGAAATTAAGTGTGCGCATAAGTGTAACCTTGTGCTATAGTTATTGGTAAAATGTCAATTTTGGTGGTGAAGATTATGATGCTCGTAACGATGGGTGCTTTTGCATTATTATTCGGTCTACTACCAACAAAAGTTTGTCATTTATTAAATTTATAAAATATTTAATAATGAACACTAAATGGTGAAAAATGCTTTAGTAATTTAAAGCCTATTAGTAATTTATATGTTGTGAAAATTTGCTGAACATATTATTTCGAATTCATAAAAATTTAGTATTACTTTTTAAATACCACAAAGCTATGCTATTAAGAGTTATTTATTTTGAAATAATTTTTAGATATACAAATATGTCGAGATGCAGCGAGCAACTAAATCTTCTAAAGCGAAATTAGCAACTCGTTCTCTTTCAATATTATCATGCTTTTCAGGTGGTGTACTCTTAGGTATTTGCTTATTAGACCTACTACCTACAGCCAAGTAAGTATTCGTAAGTTACAATATATAAACTATACTTACAGTTCTTCTCTTTTCACAAACTATTAGTTTTAAAATACTCTTTGTTTCTATTTCAAGTTTTTTCAAATATTAGTGCCAAATAGTTTTGGGTAAAAATTGAGCTATGTGGAATTTGGCAAACATTGCAAAACTATTATTGATTCTACAATAACTGAATTAAAATAAATAGCAAAACTGATAGCATTGTGAGTTTCTTTCGAAATCTGATGTTCAACCATATTCGACAGTTTTACAGTGAAACGATGCATTATCCGATCAATTCAGGTATTTTAATAAATATCAGAAAAATGTTGTAAAATACAATGCTCTTTTTAGTGAAGCATTTGATAAAATGAAACAACAAAAAGGATGGGAAACACATTATCCATACATGGAAGTTCTAATTGGTTGTGGCTTTTTTATTGTTTATTTGATGGAAATAATAACCATTCATATCTATGGTCGAGAAGATATAGACTACTACGTGAATCGAAATGAATGCAAGAATGACAAAAATGTGATAGAGTAAACTTTAGACAATACACATTTTAACATTTGAAATGTTTTGCTTCATATTAAATTCAAAAAACCACTTTTTTCATTGATCCAAAAATGGAAATTATCTCGACAAAAACGAAAAATTACGGATAAATTTTCTCTATTTAAACTGACATACAAAATTCTGTAAATTTCAGAAGCTTAATTCAAAATCTTAAGCAGAGCAACTAAATTATTGCATCTATACATTCACAAGTTAAACTATGTAAACTTTTTTATATTTATGTTGTAGAGAATGCTATGATGGATGTAAGCAAGAAGATAATGAAAATCAAGGAAAGAATGAACAAACAGATATCTCAGTAGTGGAAATGAAAATTCCCACAAAGGAAAATTATGTGAAATCGATAACTTTAGTGGTTGCTTTTACAGTTCATTCCTGTCTTGAAGGATTTGCATTCGCCGTTCAGGTAGTTTTTTTTAGTTCCTAAAGCACCTGTTTTTTTTTGAACAAAAACTCGTAACATATTAATCTATCGTGAAATTTTTTTAATTCGAAAAAATTCGAACTTTCAAATATCTCCATTACAACTCTCTTGGTTTATTTGAAGAAAATAATTTTGTACAAGATTTATAACATGTCTCTAATTATAGTATACAATGTTCAGTGTAACAACACTCTTCCTTGGAATAATAGTGCATAAATCAGTGGTTTCATTTAGTATCGGAATGAATCTAATTAAGACTCATCCCAATAAAATATATTTCGTTATATCGTTGGTAATATTTGTGGCATTAATGTCGCTTATTGGTGGTTTTATTGGAATTACTTTGGAGGTTATTTTTGTATTCGCTATTTGGTAAAAAGTACATTTATTAATTTGGCGAAAAAATACTTTGAAGTATAAGTTTATCTTAAAAGTTGTGCTTAAAGTTAGGAGAAATCAAAAAGTCGTAAATGAAAGTAGCTGCATCTTGTCCAAAAAATTATAAATAACTTCTATTAAAATGGTATTTCATTCATGAATTGTTTTAAAAATAAAATAAACCCATACTTCCTTTTATTAATGATGTCGAGCCAAAATGCCAAATGGCCAAGGTGATTTGACATTCAGGAAAATTGAAATATACCTTAAAATGCAGGGTGTACAGCTTGATGAACAATCACGAAACATTGTAACAGCAATAGCATCATCACTCGCTAATGGTACCTTCATTTACATCACTTTTTTTGAGGTCTGTTTGACTTTTACTTAGTTACTAATTACTATCTTCAAGATCAAAGATCTAAAACAATCACTGTAAGAGATAAAAGTATTCTTATGACAGGGATTTCAGCATTTCTTTTCTCCTCTCATCTTCTAATTATCGTTTTCGAAGGGTTTAAGTGACGAGTTTTTTTGTTCTTTCCTGCCTTTCTTTTCAATGTTAGATTTTTAATATACTAAAATTGAAATATGAAAACATTTCAGAGATTGCAGAGATCGTTTTTTAGATACTATACGCTGAACATGGACACGGGGAGCGAAAACTGGAGCAATGGTTGAGCGCAGCTGTGGGTTTTGGTCTTATAGCCATTTTGATATTATTTGCACACTAATTCTTTGATACCCTTTTAGAATTAATATTTGGTAAATTTCCGAGTCAGTTTGGAGTAGCTGACTCAGTTTTTGTCTGCTGTCGAGTAAATAATTAAGTTTAATTCCTACCATTCATAATGCACAAACAATCAAAATTCAAAGTTTACATCTTATCATTATCCAAATTCATTGACAATATTTGTTAGATATGAAATTCTAGAATCATGAAATGAAATTATTAGAAAAACATTAAACTGGTGCTAATACACCAAAAAAGAAAAAAAAGATGCAATTATAGTAAGAACCAAACATTTTATTTTATCGTTCATCTTTGCAATTTTAATTATCCTATCTTTCGATTTATTAAACAAAAATCATCTTACAGTGATCCCAATTAAACGATGCAAATTGATTGAAAATCGTCAATTAAAACTATTCAAAAGCTTGATTTTGATTTATCAGTGCTTTCCAAAATTCTTTGTTATGAATCATTAAAATAAACTAATAAATCATTAAAAAATGCAACTTGAATCAATATGGCTTAACTAATAAATCTGTTAAATCAGTATCTCTTTTAAAAGGTCATGGCCATTAAGGCTTGCTGTAAAATAAATAATCTGACAAATAAATAATTTTCGGGACAAAAATATTCAGAACTACTTCACCCATTTGCAATTCACAAGCTACCTACAGAATGGCGCCAACGGATTGCAGAACAGTGAGACGCTTTAATTGGTGCTTAGAGGTTTTGTTGCGCATTTGCGCAGCTGGTGTTGAGTGGTATGTCAATGTTGTTAGTTGGACTTGGATGATTATCTATTTAAAAAAGGAGAGTACAATAATCCCCCTATATCCTATGATTAATAACTCTTTATTTTCATTACAGGAATGATACATCCTCATTATCTTTACCTCACCCTTTTCTTCTTAGGATTACGAATTTCACTTTTTGCATTTGCTCCTGAACGATTCATACTTCAGGACAGAGTAAAGTTATGCCAATAGATGGTGATCGACCAACTAAAAGCTGCACACCGAAACGGTTATCCGGCTATATCAACAGGGTACCACATTTTGTCCTTTTTTTATTAAGCGAAATAATTATGGGGAATATTACCATTAAGGTCAAAGTTTATTTCATCTCCTATGCAATTCACTCCAAAAGTCATTTTCTTCTTGAAATTTTTTCAGTAATAAAAGGTCAGTCGTTCGGCCATATACTCATACTGCTGATATCAAAATATCAAGATTCCATGGATTCATAAAAAACGAACTTTTTCATTCATTAATTTTTTATTTTGCCAAGTTGTAAAACTTTTGTGAAGAGGAAAGAAATAATTTGTCATCATGCATAGACATAGAGACAAGTAAAAACAAATGATCCACTAAGCAGTGAATTACAGATCGAACAACGCACCATTGGTGGTCCATGTAGACGTCGTTACTGGTTTGTGTTATCGGACGACTCACCCTACTTGTACTGGTACAAAAATAAAGGTGACATTAATTGTACTGGACGAGTTCCGCTTTCCGGAGCTGCTTTTACTTTTGATCCTCGTGAAACTGGCCAATTTGAAATACAGTTTGTCTTATTTTCATTTTGTTCCTTGTTTGAAAATTTTGTAATTAATTGTGGTTGGATATATTACATTTTCATATTACATCTTGAAAAAATATATTACATTTTCAAGTAGCGTTTGATCATTTGATAATCATAGTTACTGGCAGAATAAATCAATTAAAATTCAAGTTTAAATTATTCAAGCATTCAGTTTTTGCCATGCAAAACAAATTTATACCCTCTTCTTGGCAAGATTTGGAGTTGCTGACCAGAATTTATTGTTTAGTGTAAATAATGAGATACATATTCTCGAAACGGCTGATAATAAGTCACGTGTTCAATGGTTGCAACAGCTTCAGAGCAATCGTCGTCGATATTATGAAAAGGAAAATATTGACAATATATTGAAGATTGTAAGATTTTTTTTTTTCGTTTCTTAGTTTTAATTGTGGTGAAGTAATATTTAGTTTCATGAAAATTTCTCATTAACTAATTTGACTTGTGATTTGTCACTTCTCGTAAAAAATGTTTAGGAAATCGTATCTCTTTCTTCACACTCGCTTTCGGGAAATGATCAGTATGCGGAGAGTTCCTCGAATACTGAAATGAATTTAGAACAGGGTGAGGATATAGTGGTGATAGATGGACCTCCAGATGAAAAATCACTTGAAGATGAAATTAATGATGCCGTTAGTTTTCGTCTTTCATAATAGTTTTGTTATGTAAACGTAAGGATGTTTGTTTTGGTCATTTTCATTTCAAAATTTTTGATTTTATTGGCAAAACTCACAGAAGTTATTTATATTTGTTTAAAATTTAAGCTACATGCTGATAATTTTAATCTGTAAAATTTCAGACCCAATCTACATTTTATCTTAATTCGGATGGGGAACTGAATGCAAAAAGTTTAGAGATGCCAATTCCAATCCGTCCCAGTACAGATATTTTGAGAAGTGCTGAGGAACTGATTGAAAAAATAACTGAAGAAACTCAGACAAAAGCGAAAGTACTTGAACAACCAGCGAAAAAGGTGATAGGCAAAGCGAAAGCTTCTTTGCGGTTAGTATGTTATCATATTTAAGTTTGTGGTTACTTTTATCTATATATATATATCTAAAATATTTGCGAAGTTTTTTCCTGTTTTTTCATCGGTGTGGGTTTAATTAATGTAGAACAAAGTAAATAAGACATTCATTCCAAATAACTCAGAATCTGTCTTCTTATCTCCATATTAAATATAGAGTATTATCAAATGTTCCGATATTTCCTTTCAGAAAGAATAACAAAAGGAAGAGAAGGAACGGTAAAAAAGGCAGTGACTTTCAAGCTGTAAATATATATTCAAAATAAATAGGATAAACATTTAATAATGCGTGTGTATTGTAACACATATTTTTTTCAGACTTTCTACTCCGCCACGACACTCTTGTGAACAGTGCAAAGCTGTAAGTTTTTTTTAAGCTCGAGATGTCCAGTTTTATGTTACTTCTTTTAATTTATATACATATATTTTTTAGTATGTGGTGCCATCACTAAGTCATAAGGGTGCTTGGAATAAATTTTTGGGAAAAAAAGAAATTTTAGAAAAAAATTATTATGCATTGTTATTGCAGTTGCTTGGTATTGTAAATGAACTCAAAGATCGTTGTTATGAGCTTACTGACGAAGTAGGAGCTAATCAAGATTTGGTTACAATTCTACGGCAGAGTTTGCTCAAATCAAATCGTCAAATAGAATTAATGTATATGTTTGCCGTTATGTCTCTATGATTCCTCTATCTGCAAAATATTTATTTTATCGCAGCTTTGTGTATTCGTGTAGGCAAGGTTATTTCAGAAAACGTATGGAAGAACAGAGAAGCCCTCAAGAGAGAATCGATATGATCCTTGAGAAGGAAAGCGAGCTTACAGCATTGAAGCTGAATGCAGCATCCTACAGTCGTGAAATTCGGATTTTAAAAGAACAAAATAAGTAAACACTATTATTATTGTTTGTGTCAGTTGATTTTACAAATGCATGGAATGTTACTGCATTATAATTTCCTGTTTGCAGACAATATGAACAAAGAATTGAAGAACTAAATGTTGAAATTGATGCGTTTCGTGAGTCGGTACGTTCAAAAGAAGAGCTTATAATGAAGATTTATAGTGAGCAGGGAGGAAATGATGTTTTGGATCATTTAGATGGCGTGATTAATGATGGTGCGTACTATGGAAGGTTTTTTTACTGTTTTTCTGAATTAATGAATTGTTATATGGTTTCTAACAAAAGTGCTTTTTGTTCGTTATATTTGACATTATGTGAAGTTGTTACATAGTATTTGTTCAAAAATTCGAGATTTTCCCAATTTTACATTAGCTTCAGTTAAGCAAAGTAAGTATAAGTAAGCAAAGTAAGCAAAGCAAAGTAAGTGCTAAGTTTCTTAAGAATGTGTAAACTCATCATTATATTATTATGTGTACTTACGCATTAGTTATATCGTACGTGAACGATGTTCGAATTCGGAGCATCTGAGAATACTAAATAAGCATGACATTCAGTTGAAGTGCCCGAAGGGATATTAGTTGACTTCGGTAGTAGCTCAACTGATGAAAATGCGCAACGAGTGTTTGACGAAGCAGCTGTCAATGATGTAACAGAAATGCGAGACCTTGTTATGGGATATCGAAATCAAAATATGTTCTTGAATCAGGAGGTTCTCGGTAAGATTTTTTCTAAATAAAAATTTTTTTCAAAAGTTTTACTTCTTTTTTGTAGCTAATTTTTCGTTTTTCAGAGCTTCAAAAAATTGTACAGAGTTTGGAAGACAGGGAGCGTCGAATTACTCGACAAAACTTTGACATTGAGGCTTGTTATTACCAACTTAAAAGTCGGTACATCATGGTACTGAACCATTTCAGGGCGTCAAAAAATGACAGTAGAGGTTTGATAATTGATTTTTCTGTTTGACTTTGTTTGCTTATTTTTCTTCAAAATTCCTTTGCTATGCTAATCGTGATAACTGTTGCAAGTACAAAAAACTTCTATACTAGAATATGGAAGGTTAAGCGATGAAGTTAAATGATTCACTGTGTGACTGAATGAAATTTAATCATGAAAAATTTTTAGTTCTGGAGCCAGGAGTAATCGAGGCTTTGATTGACGAAACAAACTGGACTACAAACAAAAAAACGTTAAACAACGACAAAATAGAAAGTAAGTAATGAAAGATTCTTTTGTTTTGTAAAATAGTATAGAAATTATATTTACGAATGTCGTTGCTTTCCAAATTCTCTCCGGTAAAATTTAGAATCAAAAATATACTTTTTTTTATTATTTTCAAAGCCTTTCATTTAGCGGATTAATTTGACGCTCAGAGCCTATCAGTTGAATATTTTACAGCAAGACTTACTGACTCTCTTGGATTTTATTTGAATGACGACAGAAAGCGTCATGAATTGCGGCCCACTGACATGTTTGAAGTTGCTGCTGAATTAAAAAGTATAAGTGACGAGATTGTTGGTCAGCGAGAAATGGTGAGTTATGTAAATCCTTTCCATAATATTAGTATGGATTTGAATGCCTCAAAATTCAAATTTTTCTTAAAAGATTTATGTTTGTCAAAGTTTATCATTTATCGGGAATTACTGTTTTCGGATCTGTTTAGGAACAGAATCCGCAGTACATAGACTGGCTACAAAAGTGGGATAGTTTCTTGGTGAATTCTGCAGTACGTCCTCTGAAACCCACTAATGAGTTAAAGAATTTGGTGAGAACGGGTATACCAAAAACATATCGACCGAGAGTGTGGAAAAGGTTGTCTTTTTATTTCTGCAGTTTTTTCATATTAATTCTTGCATGCTCAATACTTATGATGTATGCGATCGGTAATTGATTTTAATAAATTGTACTTTTTTCGCAACGCTAGAGGAAGATACTATCGGATAAAATCCGATATAACACTAGTACTGTCGAGTTTTCTCCTTTCCTCATGTCTCTTATTTCTGCCTTGGATGGATTCATATTTTTTGTATATATTTGGGGGATTTTGATGTTAAAAAGATTATTTCTCAAGTTTGTCTTTAATTTATTCATTTAGAATGTTCATTTTTTACAGACATTAAATCTTGTCATGTTTAATCCTATTCATTTGTGATATGCGGTATGCTTAACTTACCTTATGTGAAATGGGAACTCTTATACCATATAAGAATTTCTGTACAAAGAGCTACAAATAATCATTTTTAAAATTTTATGTTCTAACAAGTCTTTTCCAGTCTTGTTAATTACGTAGTGGGCGATGAAAAGGCCGATCTCGGCAATGGTTATTATGAGACACTTCTTCGGAAGGTGAATACTGCTAGCATTAATACTATCGAAAATGATAGCGCTTTGAAACAGGTTTGCATTGCAATAAATCTAACTTTGTTAAAAATTCTGTTTCCATAAGTAATGTCAGTCGAAAGCCTCTGGCAAAATTCTAATTGCAGTTTTTGGTATTTTATTTTCTTTAAAAAACAACATGCGAAACTGAACATACATAAATGGAATTATTGCAGATAGATTTGGATTTGGCTCGAACTTTACCCACAAACAAGTTTTTTGACGAGCCAAAATCGGAAAAAATTGTTGTTTTACGTCGCGTGCTCTGTGCATATCGTTTTCATAATAAGTCTGTTGGGTATTGCCAGGTACTTTAATTTATTACCGGAGTTTTGGTTTCCTTTTCATTCCTTCACTTTTTTTTTATTCGATCTCTCCAGACACAACTCAACAAACTTTAAAAAAGATCATCGAATTTGCTCACAATTTGAAATTTTATCGATAGTCCTGTCGATCAAAAGTTGGGGTAACCTAACTCTTCTGTTATTTTTAATCCCTATATGTGAATATGAATTTGCAAGTCTACTGGAACAGCTTTGAAATAGCAATAGTTCAAATTTCAGGGCTTAAATCGTCTGGCTGCTGTTGCTTTACTGTTTCTCGAAGAATCTGACGCTTTTTGGTTTTTGGTAGCTTGCATCGAGCATCTCCAACCCACTGCATATTATACTTCTACTTTACTTTGTGCCGTTGCCGATCAAAAGGTGATATTTCTTCTTGATTGTTGCTTGGTGACACATTTTCAAAAAACTTTGATTTTAGAATTTTTTTAAATAAGTTAGGAAGAAACTTATGCTCATTAGTATATATTGTTGAAGGATCTTTGAATTAAAGAATATTGCGATTATAAGATAAGCATTTCATCTGCACTGCCTTTTACAACTATAATATTCAGTGATGGAATGAGTGTAAGTTATGGTAAGATCAATGATTAAGAAGGTACATGTTTAGTTCATGTTTGACGTCAGATTTTGAGGAATCTGCATTTATTGTTTCAGGTGTTACGTGATCTGGTTAGCGAAAAACTCCCGAAATTATCATCTCATTTGCGCAAATTTGAGGTGGACTTGTCAGCTTTCACTCTTAGTTGGTTTCTTACATGTTTTGTTGACGTGTTTCCGCATACTATTTATTTGAATTTATTCGACGTTTTCCTCTATGAAGGAAATAAGGTGAGTACAGAGCAGTTTACATTCTAATTTTCGAGAAATATTTGAGTTTTGAATATGTCTTTTGAAGTATTGAGCAAATTGGAAAGTTGACTAATTATTTTTACTATTTATTCTGCTCACATAGCAATGTTATGTCAGAAGCATTTCTTGATACGTTTCTCTTAGAAATTTACCAGAAATTACATAGAATATATAAATTTTCGTTTATAGAAAAATTATGAAGTTCTTATTTAAATATTTGTTTAAGTCCTCTATAGGTTCTTTTCCGATTTGCCCTTGGAGTGTTGAAACTTGCCGAAACATCAGTGTTGGAATGTAAATCTGTCGGAGCTGTGCATGCCTCACTAAGTAGAGTAGCACAACATGTTCCCAATTTCAAGACCTTGGCGCAGGTGAACTTTTCATTATATGTACATTGTGTTATATAGATGGAAAATTGGTGTTTTCATTGAGAACTGAATTTGTAATAATAATCTCATTTTAATAAAAACGTTTTTTGGTTACAAGTTGAAAATCAGTTAATGTGATTTTTTGTTTTAGAACTTACTTAGTCTATTTAGTTTTTTTATGACGCAAGTTCACTATAAAAAGCTAGATGTCATTGTATAATATAGTGCGATGTTATTCTTTTAATTTTGATTGCGGTGTTATTGATTTCAGGTTGCTTTTAACGATTTAAATCCTTTTCCACAAAAAAGTATAGAAATGAAAAGACAATTTTATCTCAGCCAATTAACAGTAAGTTGCAGTTTCTCTAACCTTTAATATTTTCTAGAAATGAGCAAATTAAGCAAACTTTTATTTTAAAACAAGCTATAATTTATTAAAATCTAAAATGAAGTCTAATATTGAAGATCTCACTATGCTATTATTCATCATATTGTAGTTTGCACCGTTCATAATGTAATGAATGAAAATTGGAAAGTTTAAGTACCGTAGTGGAAGAATTTCAGGCAATGCAGTAAATGGTTTATGAAAAGTTAATGTGATAAATAAATTATATCGCTTTGGTCTTGCAATAAGAGTCATTTTTGCAGACAGTTTCAGGATATTATATGGTATAACAAATTGTTTTACGTTGTGATACATACTTATTTGTTTCAAATATTTTTTTTTCAATTTTTAATCTGTGATAAGTTTCCTATACAAAAACTATGTTTTCGTGTATCTCATCATTGATTGTGAACTACACTTACATATTATTTTTTATTTTCAATCCATTTTTGGCACTCTTTATTATACTATTCACTTCATAACATTTGATAATTTATGAACTATGTTTTTTCATGAAATACTAATATTTTTAAAAACCTTCAAATTTTTAGCTCTATAAATTTTTAGAGACCAATTCTATGCGTGTGATCATTATCAGCACTGTAGAAGTTACTTCTGCAATCGAAAATCAAATGTTCGTAATTTTGGTTGTTTTCCAATTGATGTTATATATATTTTTTCCATTGAACACTACTTGATCATGCTCTATTAGTGCCTTTCACTGTGATACGCTTACTTTTTTTTATAATAAAATCGGAACAGTATTTCCTGATTACTACTTTCCACATGTATTTTTGCTCTTCCTTTTGTTTCAAAATATCTTTTTATTTAACGCTGTGAACTGTGTACATATATTTATTTATATTCTAAGCTGCGCATTTAATATGGATGTTCTCTCCGCGTAAATAAATGATGAACTAGAAGGATTTCTTCGTGAAATTTTTTCATGAAAATATAAAGTACAGATTTTTGTAGTAGAAGTCAGAAATTTCCCCTCTTAGGAATTTTCTAACTTTTCCCTGTCATTCTCATAGATTTATCGGTGCACTGTTGAACGCAAGAGAGTTTACTTCATCAAATATTTTGAATTCATCGCTAATAGTATCAATATGAAAGCTATTAATAAGCATTGTCGAGAAACGGTTCATTTAGCTTTAGATTTCAAATCCAGAATGTGAATAATGTGTTCAACGTGCGAGCGAACAACATGGGGAATTCGTATTTTTTCCAAGTGCTAAAAGAATGTGATGTGCACTTCTGAAACATTCCGAGAATATCAAGTACAGGTGGCTTAAATACTTTCGATATTTCAAGAAAAGGAATAACTTTAATTAGCATAAGTACTGGAATGAATCACTATATCATCTATAATAAGAAGGGATTTAAAATCTAAAAGGGCGGAGATTGAGCTAGCGAATTTGCTTGACAATATTAATAACTGAACTGAATAGATTACGAGCAGCTAAGTAGTCATGACGAAGCTGACATCAATCGAGCTAATTGATGCCGACTTCGCTCTCTTCACCTGTATCAACGGAAGCGAATCTTTTCATTTAATGGGAATAATCTTTTTAGTTCTCACTACATCCGGAAAATTGGGCTAAATATTATATTTATGATCTTGTATATGATCTTGAACAAAATTTCCACGATATAAATTTTTTCTTAATTCTTAAAATAACTGTTCTTATGCTCTTTTACAGATATTCCGGAAGTTTTTTTTCCCATGTAATAAAAATTCTGAAGCTTTTTGATCTCTGCAGTTGTAGATTACAGAAATCGTAGATGAAATCTCCTATATTGTTAAGAATTTTAAGGTAGAATGTTAAGATTAATTACAACTTTCAATATTTTATATTTCATATATAAAGAATGGATTAATAAAAAAACAATTCTTCAAATTTCATTCTTGACAATTTCATCTACAACTTCTGGAATTGAAACTATTGAAAGATCTTTTGGATCATTAATGAAACATGATCAGTTGTCAAAGTTATAGATATAGTAAAATGGAGACAATTCATAAAGCTATTTTATTTGCAGGGATGCCATCGATATTCCCATCATAAATTGGAGGCAGTTAACGGAAACGATATCTCAGTGGCAATTAAATTGACAGAGTAATGAAGCGCATATAACTCAATTGGAAAGTGAATCGAAGTAAATTCTATTTGAAGTATATGCATGCCAATGACAGCCATACAACTCAATCAGATAATTGAATCAACTGAGGCAAGAATGAAATGGTAAACGAAGAGAGGATGATGAAAAGAAAGAAGATGAGGAGGAGTTAAGTTTGTAGCCATTGAATTGACACCAACCTTTTTTTGCAAAAATTTAACCTGAACATTTTTTTTTTTGAAAATTCTTTCTTAGATTGCACAACTGAGAGAAGAGGAAGGCTATATTCGAATTCAAAGATACGATGATATGAATTTGAGATCTTCATTTTGTCAACTTTTTTAGATGTTGTTTTATAATAATGCTCATTTCTTTTATCATTGTTGTGATTAATCGTGCGAAGAGAGATGATTTTGTAAACGGATAATTTAAAGTAACTATTAGGATGGATAGTTTAAAGAGCTAATTATTGGATGATCATTTGCAAAATACAATTATCCATCTATAGATATCTCATAAAAATTAACTGCTTGTAATAAATACAAGTAATGATTTTGAAGTCTTCCGGTGAATATTTTTATTCCTTATAGATACAACGATTGGGATTTGGCTTTCAACAATCCTGAGGAGGTAGATTACTCCTTTGGCGGTATTTCTGATGCTTATATTTCTTCGCATTCTATGGTGCGCATCATTTACAAATTTGTATTTGTATTTTTAGACTGCTAAATATGACGTTTCCCGGTTATGCATTTAGTGCTGCGACATCATCAACAGCTTGGCCAGTGTTACTACCGCCATTTCAACCTATACCGCCATATGATCTTGCTCGAAATGATACAGGTGAGTGAGTTTTTTCAATCTTTTTGCCTTGAGAACTAATTCAATTTTAAATTTCTAGTAAACAAATTGGGAATCGAATCAATCGAAACATTTATCCATCTTTTCAATTTGTTCAATATTAACTAACTGTAGATCACATCGTTCTTAGCGATAAAATAATTTCAATAATTCGTACTCCCAATAATAAACATAATTAAATTAACTAAAAGATTCTTATATGGCAGTTAGAACTATCTTTACGGTATATTTCATGAAAATTAATTTAATATTGTCGTCCTAGGCGCTGGAAAAACATACTTAAGTTCCATGATAAAAAAGCCAGGTCAACGCTAAATAAGTATTCATCCATATAAGGGTGGCACTTGAAATTTCATAAATCAATTTCAACTTAAATTTTTCAGTATTTATAGTGGATTTCTGATGAAATTTCGTTGTAAAATTATTTCTTATTGATGCTCAGTGCTTTATATTCTGTAAATTGTCCTCTTTGAAGTTACCTTATATATATATAAATAAGCATTTAGGTCTTGACTGTACAAGTGGTCAAAAACTTTATGAGCAGCATGCCTATCTAACATCATATTCGAGTGGTGCTATCGATGATGGAAGTAAACGAAAGCAGCGTCGTAATCGGACAATATTTAACCAGCAACAAGTTAGACTTATATCAGTTTTGGAATGTTTAGCGGAACTCTAATAATAATGCCAGTGCTTTCTTTCATCTCTAATTTTTATGCAAAATTACGAAACAATAATATTTCAATGATTGCAAAAGAATTGATTGATTGGTTGGTGGACAAAGTTAAGATAATTCTTGGACCAAATATTCGAATTTAGATGAACTTCGTTACGCGTAAATTCAAATTTCATTTAAACTTTTGTTGCGCATAAAAAAGAATTCACAAAAGTGAACTGGTTAACAATATTTCATAAACAACACCTACACTTCAATAGAATCGTCTTTAATTTGAATCAAGTCATTCTTTTTTTTCAATCTGAAGATAGACCATTATTAATGGTACTTAAAACTCAAAAATTATAAATGAAGGCAGGCTGCATTTGACTTTTGCAAAATGAAGCAAAGAATAGCATTTACGGATAGTGTTTTTCTTGAAAATCTTAGGGAATATCATTAACAATAGCTGGTAATGAGATTTTGATGTTTGTGTTGGAGGTGAATAATGATTTCATGTTCAATTAACCGTGTAAAATAGCTTCAGCGAGCTATATTCATTCTAGCAACTATCTAGCATCATTCCTGTCTTTATTGCATCATCTCTATCAAGTGATATTTTCAAGAGTTTTGAGCACTTTCTGAAAAACATCATTGGAGTTCTAGAAGCAAGCAGCTCTGAGGGCTAAGTAAGATCTTTTCTCGAGACCTTGTTTTGGCTAACAATGATAAAATGACGGGGAAGTCGAGAAAGATGAAATTATATTAAATTGATGCAATTTTGTCCTTCTGAAGGCGAGTGAAATGCGACAACTAAACTAATTTTACTATGATCGGATCTAGCAATTCAATTTGGCTCATTCTGGACAAAATTTAATTATGTGTTCTGGAAATCCTTCATACAATTTGCGATCCGTTATTGAAAGAACTTTTCCTAATTATACCACTATTTTTATATATGGTCGCCTTCAAAAATTCTGTTTGATATTGAAATGAACCAATAAACAAAAATTTCATCAGTCTCTAAAATGTATCGTTTTTTTTTCGCCTACAGTTATAGAGGTCTCGGCGCTCTAATTTTTTCGACCTCTTTATACTAGAAATTGGAAATAGGAAGTGGAGCTGTAGAGAGTAGTACTTGGTCCTCGGGAAAATTAGAGCGCCGAAACCTCTAAAACTCAGCAAGTGATGATACCAGCGTAAATCATCAATACCTGCAAATTTAACAATTATACTATTAAGATTTAAAAGCATAATTTTGAAAATATATTATGAAAACATACTGATCAGCAGGGGAATAATGTGATATTATGAAGATAGTAATATTATGATGATTACAAATATCAGCATTTGTACTTCATGCACTTATAAAGATTCAGCGGCGACGAGAATAAAACAGATTATAAGGATTTAAAAACATAATGTTGAAAATATGATAGTTAATAGTATTGGAATTTGATGATACTAGTAAGTATTAATGTAGTTAATCACATTAAGAAATATTCATTCAAAAAGTAGATTAAATTTAGCTGAAATAATAAAAGCACGGGATTCACTACAAATCAATGAAGTAATTGATTCCTATAAAACATCTACTTAAACTGTTTCATCTGTTATGGAAAGCTAAAAACTTGGGGAGGCCAAACCATATCATTTTACAAATGTTTTATATTTCAACTATATCGGATCCCAATTCATCTTGTACTTTATAAATGCTAAATATTTGAATCAAATCTCTGTCTACTACTCTCACTCCTCAGGAAATTTTTTTTAGCTAAACGAACTTGAAGCAGCTTTTCGCAAATCGCACTATCCTGACGTATTCGCACGCGAAGAGCTTGCTACAAAGATAAATTTACCAGAGGCCAGAGTACAGGTAATAGAAGTCAGCGTTATTATTTTATTGAACGCGAAAATTTGAGTCAAATAATTGTTCCTTCAGGTATGGTTTCAAAATCGTAGGGCGAAATGGCGAAAAACAAAGCGTAATGATCAGAAACTGAATCGCTGCAATGGTCAGCATGGAACTGTTGTATCTGATGCACAGCTGAGCAAATCAGACTTGATTTCATCATTAGCTTCATCTCCCCCTTCGTTAACAACAGCTTTAAGCCAGTTTTGCTCCATCAGAACATTAACAAGACCATAGCTCTAATTTAATTTTGCCAATAAATCATTCAATTGTTCATGAATTCTTAATGTGCATATCATTATACGAATGTAGACGGATGCAGTGAAAGCTATCAACATTACCTGTTAGTTGTCTACAAACAGTTTCTTCCTATTATAGCATACAAATATGTGATTGATGTTACAGACCAACATCAAATAATTTAAATAATCAGTGCGCAAATTATACAAAATCATTCAATATAGAGCATGAAGCGGAAACCGAAAAAGTACTAGTTTCAGAAAATTGTTGAAAGACATTAGATCAAATCAGCCGATTACAAGGTGGAATAGCAACAGCGATAGATGAATGAAGCAAGTAAGAAGCAATAGTTAAGGATATATCACTCATTCACATCCCATCATTCCCATACGAAAATTAGGGGGAGACGGTACTTAATAAACATTAACCAACGAAATCAAATTCATGACATATTTTTATTTTAGAATTCATTATATTTTTTGGAAATCATTCTAAAATGTTAATAATTTGTTATAAAATATAATTTAATACCAATTATGGATCTTCAATTTCCTATCCCAGATACGGGTATATTGAATATGCCGAAGTTTTAGAAGTAGACATTGTAAAAATAACAAAGAGCACTAGTAACAAATACACATTAGGTTAATTCAGGTAAGGGTAGAAACACCTGTAGTCTGGGACATACCGGAAAAACCCTCAAAAGGGCGGAAATTATGAGTCTATGACAAGTCGTGCAATCCAAAATGGCGACCCTTACACAATTCTGGACTGCAGCCGGATCCATTAATATACCAAAGGCCGTCACTAGATTAGTCACGACAATACGGGAACAAACGATGTCCTCGGCATCAGTTCTTTTTTCCATTGCTTTATTTGGGTCTTATAACAGCACAATATCTTACCTCCTCACGCTTTTCTGTTACTTCTCTTGTAGCGCAATATTTTTACTTCCTTTTGCTTCTCTAATCATCAATCCCTATGCTTTGTCTTCTTTTAGTGTTATCATCATGTTAGCAGTCATTATTGTCTCAGGCTGGGGGAGAGTGCGTTGTAATTAGTCAAATTTCCACGTTTCTTTCGTAGTGCACAAGGTTTCCTATAATGTGTGCATTTCAGGTGCCACAACAATAAGTCGTGTAATGGGCGAGGAAAATTTACTTTACTGCTACAATAAAGGATGCGGTACAAAATTCGACCCTAGCGAAAATAATAATGGTAAGCACTTATCTCTTTCTTGCTATTCCATCGTTGTTTTATGATCATTCTTTGAATTTTATCAGTTTAAATTATTAATACTCAGTTGCTTTCTTCGATTTCATTATCATTGTGAAGACAATTAGCATTACTGGTTGCTAATTCGAACTCCGCGGAACAAAAATATACGTCTCGCATTATTAAGTGTCATTTATCCAATTCAACTGTTCAACAGCCAACATTGTTTCTACTCTCTTTTTAATTTTGAGTTAAATCTAAGTACTGTCCTTTTGATCGAATATAAAAACCAGTATCAACAGATATTTATAATAAAAATGCATGTCTTTTTCAGACTCATGTTTATATCATCCTGGCGCACCATACTTTCATGATGCTTATAAAATCTGGAGTTGCTGCAATCAGAAAAGTACAGATTTCAGCACATGGTTAAGTCTGAAAGGCTGCACCCGTGGACAACATAGTAATGAGAAATCGGTAGTGGAAACGAAGCCCGAAAAATCGGAGACAAAAATTAAATCGAAAACACCGGAAGAGGTATGTTCATGCGGGATATTATTCAACACTTGGACTATTAGAGTTTTACTATCATTTTGAGAATATTAACACGGTCGTTGGAATAAAAATAAAAATTCATACGATTATCCATAGTGTTAATATTCTTAAGTAACATGTTGAACTACGTTGTAACTGTTGGACGACTATGTTGTTGTTGGATGGAATTTCGAGTATTTGAAACGGAGTGAGGAACTTAAACATTTGCGGTATCTCATGCGTAACGAGGAATAATCCAACTTTTACGCGGTAACAAAAAGCAGCTCATTGAAATACTATACTAGACAAAGCAGATATATATATATATGGCAAGCTTATATACGAACAGGGGCACGAGCCTTTATGGATCACAGATGAAGGGGAGTAACAAACTCTACAAGATAAAAATCAAATACTTTTTTGGATTTCCGGCGCAATAGCAACTAAGGTTTGGTTAAAGTTGATATAGTTTGGGGCGCCTTTTTTACTTTTTGATTTCTTACATTCAGAGCATGAGAGAACACTTAGTAGAAAGTCTTAAGTTTACTTAGGAAGTCCAATACTTTCCGGCTGCAGAGAGAAGTCTTCTGAAGGAAACTTTTGTCACTAACATTTTTAAATCAATTTAGTCTTATTCTTCTTGAGTTTCTCGGGTTTTTAAAAATAAAATAAAATCCATATAAGGATACAAGCCAACTTTCTCCAATGTATATATCTAGATCCAGTGGCTTGTTTGTAGTATACTTCGTTTCAGGTGATCGTTTGGAGTGGTCTAAATAAGCCTGCAGACAGACACGATTCTTTGAAAATAATGAGAGCGATAAAATTTGAAGTAACTGATGGCGCTTTAAAAACCATTGAAAGATTTAACTCAGAAATAAAGAAAGAAATTGAACCAGATATTCATGTCGGCGTCTCATGTAAAAACCCTGGTTGTGAAAAGGTTTGTTTGACAAATAACTTTCAAAGTGATTACATTCTCTTTATTCCCTTTTCTTCTGTATGCTTCAAAAAGACAAAGTTGCCACTTTTTATTAAATCTCTGTAATGAATGATGCAATATGAGAGTCGTATTCAACTTTCAGTATGCTGTTAGCTTATCAGTCAAACTGCCACTTTTTGTATGCTTTCTATATGCTTAGATGATTATGATTACATTTAAATTCATTGGGCATTAAAACCTTTTTGCTTTCTGTAACAACTGTTAAGCAAATGTAACAGATTCAAATTATTTAATCATAATCATCTAATCATAACGTCAGACGAAAGAAAATAGAAAAACTAATTCATGGAATAAATTCATGAAACAAATCTTTCTTGCTTATTGAGATTTAACAATCAAAAATCGGAAGTTTTTAGGTTTATGAAAGCGAAGAAAGCCAAAATGAAAAATGTATGTATCACAATGGCGTAGCTATATTTCACGAAGGAATGAAATATTGGTCATGCTGTGAGAAGAAAACTTCCGATTTCAGTGTATTTCTCGAGCAAAAGGGCTGCACAGCAGGGAAGCACTGTTGGACAAAGGAAGAGTTCTTGAAGTTTTTTTTTTCTTAGTGTTAGAAATTTCAATTATAATTTCAAGAAATATGTAAAACAGAAACGTAGCTCCATCTTGAAACTGGAAATGCAAACCTAAAACATGTATTTTTTTTGCCTGATGATTTATAAAAGCTTATATCATATTTAGACGGAGCGGGTTGACAAAGTTCGTGAGGACTGGTTTAGCGGAGGCGGCTTCATTCACTTGAATGTTTACTGTAAGGGAGCTCTACCGGAATCGTGCAGGGTGGAATGTAATGGTCTTATACTCCAAATGAAAGTCGTACATGGTTTTGGTGCAAAAGAGACACGGCTAAATTATGAACTTTTTGGTAGAATCAATGTAGATGCATCGAAGGTGATTTCTACCATTCAATTTTTCTTCTCTTTTTGAGTTTGATTATTTAATTAAGTTGAAGAGCTGTGTTTTATAAATTCACTTTTTGTAAGGGAATCAGTCATCGATGTCTTTGCAGGTAATAATTGGTGAAAGAAAATTGGAATTAGTATTAAAACAAGAAGATATAGCAAGCTGGCCACGGTTAACGTATGATGCAAAAAGTGTTCAAGCGGAGATTAGCTGACTGTGTTAATTTCTTTGTTTTTCTTGCTTTTTAAATAGACTGCAAATTCATTACAATACGAAGAACTAAAAAAAGTGATTATTTTGATCATTTTACAACCCATCTTTTCTGTGATCTAAGGTAAGCTACCATGTACGTTCCCGTGTTATTATTCATTGTTATTTCTTGACTTCTTTTCATAAATTGCTTAATTTTTTAGATTACCTAAAGAATTTACGGTATATAGCAAATTTTTGGCAATTTATTAAGGTTTATTTTGTCAAAGTTTTTGTTAAAAGGAGTTTGAAAAAAAGAATTTGTTTGTTTTTTTTGTTAAAAGATTAAGAGAAATTGTCATTTCTTTGATATGGATGACATTAATGCTTACTTATGATAAAGATTAATACATTTTTGTATGTTGTAAAGAATTTTGAAAATGTTGTTGACAATCTTTTGAAGCTATTTTTTATGACCATTTTAATTCCGCCTTTTTCCCTTTTCCAGCGTAAATGATTTTGTGACAGTGACTCTGGATTTTTTGCTATATTTCTTGAAAAAAAGTATTCTTTGACTTTATAGAGTGGATGAAAAATCAGTTGAACAGTATAGGATTATTTCATTCTGTGGAAGCAATTTATACAGGTGGAGCAATCCAGTGGAGTTTGGATGGGAAAACATTGTTTTCAGCTTGCGGCAATTATATCAGGGCGTCGAATGTTGATGATGGAAGAGAGAGGTGGTTGAGCGTATCGTTCTCCCTTAATTTTGTTAGGAACTTGATTTAAAGTTTGGTTATAAATGTATGAAAAGTATAAGTACATAACATGCTTAAAGACGTTACCGATGACGATAAGATAATGAATGATGGAAAAGAATGCAGGGAAATGAATTTGCTTGTGAATCAGCTAACCAGTTATTAAGAATAACGGATGTGCGCGAGAGTGTAGGAATAGATTTATTAAATTTTTTATTCAGCTCAAGATCTTTGCTTGTAGTGATTTAGTACTTTATATCTTATCATTTATGAAGGAAGATTTTATTGTTTTCTTGCAGTTACAAGATTGGAAACGAGGAGGATCAGTTAAGAATATCAACTTTCTCGTTGAACGAAGATTATAGTTCCATCGTAGTGGCTTACACGAATGGTCTTTTACGAAGTTACCGATTGCCATTACTAGAAAATGGTTCTGCAGTAGTAAATCCTGAGATAGTCCGTCAGTGGAAATCAACTCATGCAGCCCCGGTTTTAGTCATGAAAAATTTCGGAGGTGACACATTACTTGCTACTGGATCAGCTGATTTTGTTGTCAAGGTTTGAGTTTCAACTGTGTCACTGTATAATTATTTGAATGGCAACAGAGATATCGGTTCTAATATGCTAAAGAATTTTATATCAACTAGATCCTGAGACACTGATTGCTATTGACAGTCAGCAGGTGATAAACTGTTTGAAAAGCTTCAATCAGTTCTTTAGATTTGGAATCTTGAAGAGCGCAGCTGTGTTGGATCATTGAAAGGTAAAAGCACTGTAAGTGCTATCGAATTTCTTGATAAATCCCGTGTAATGGTTGGCTATGTAGATGGCAGCTCATCATTATTCTGTTTAGAAACTCCAAAGAAATTGATTTTTCGGTGGACTAATCACACAAGGTTAGTTAGATAAAAATTGTTTTGTTTGTAATCAGGGGATGTCAGTTTTTAGCTTTTTGTACTGATTTAGTAATATTTACGAAATGATAGAAGATTGACAGAATTTCATTTAATCTTGTTTTCTTATATCCGTTCTTATGGTATTTTAGCCAGATTGTAAGCATAATTATTCGACAATTACCGGAAGTTGTTTTTGTGAGTCGTGATCAAACGTTGTCAATTGTTAACGTGGATAGTTATGAAAAAATAAAAGTGCTTCCCTTGTATGAACCAATCGAAGCAGCAGTTTTCGTGTCTGGTTCGTTGTTCACAGTAGGAGAGGAAGGTGTTCTAAAGTGTTGGAATATGGAGAATGCAAAATTACTAAAATCTGCGAGTATATATGGGTTAGTATGTTGATCTTTAGCGTCACAACCAAGCTTGGATTAGTACTTGCTACATAGTTGTCATATTATATGAAATTTTTGTTGACTTCATTCTATTTTATATGATTTTTAATTATAAATACGATTCAAAGATCCGACCTGTGGAACAATTTTGTCAGATCATTCTTGTCTTAGCTCTTATTCACTTTGTCTTATCTAACTTTTTCAATTTCTATCTGATCATTGTTTGAGCAAAATGATGTTTTAAAAATAGAATTAAACCTGTTTAGTTTTAAATAATTTTCAGGTCTCGCATTAATTCTATTATTTATAATCAAATTTGCAAAAAATTTCTGCTGGCTACCTCGGATTTCAACGTTTTTTGGGTCGATGAAGAAACTTTCAAAATTGAGCGGCAGTTTGCTGGCTTCAATGATGAGATTTTTGATGTTTGCTTTTGTGGACCAAATTTGAAATACTTGGTTGCAGCTACAAACAGTTCTGAATTGCGCTTGTATGATACAAATACATGGTCTTGTCATCTTATTACTGGTATGTTTGTTTAGTAAGTGCAATATTGTACATTCCGCAACTCATTTAACATGAGCTGTTTCCATTTACCTTTTCGACGAAGGTTTTATTTCCCTTATTTCATTTGTCCTAATTATTTTTGCATAGTAAATTGCAGTGAATTTGTTTGACTTTTTTTGTAAATTTATTCGACAATTTCTTTTTTAGCACTTCTAAATCATTATTGTTGATACGAAAAAGTACTATCAATGTTAATACATGCATTGCAGCAGAATAAAGCATGAAGTGAAGTTTAGCATATATTTCGAAAATTTAGAGAATAAAATTTATGTAGCGATGTATCTGTTTAATGAGGTGTCACAAGCAATCTCATGTATTCATTTTAATTTATGAAGTTACAGGTCATACTGATAGTGTGCTCTCACTCTCAACTGCTCCGTGGGATTCAAAGTTTTTAGCAAGTTCTTCCAAAGACAATACTTTTATTCTTTGGCATGTAGACTTGAACGGTGATGACGAAATTAAAGCGGAAAAGGTAACTCAGGAATTTGGGGTTATTCATTTTTATTCCTTCATATACTTCCAATGATACATGTTTAATTTTTAGGTAGGCTTAGCTACTGGACATACTAATAACGTCACGCGTGTTCGGTATTCCAACAGTTCCAAGCATTGTTTCATTGTTTCAGTATCAAATGATACTACTATCAAATTATGGCCATTGAAAAATCTCAAGGAAAAAACAGAAGAGTAACTATTATCTTTATTTTGTTTAATTCTTGATGAGAACTTAAAGTTTTCTCACTTAATGCTTTTTTGCTTTTAAAAACAGCCACGTTTGATGACCTTTTTTTCGTATTTGCAGTGTTTTTGATTTAATAAATGAGCTGTTTTCAGTTTGAAATTGCAGTCATCAGCAACATTAGTGGCGCACGCAAAGGACATAACTTGCTTAGATATTAGTTTGAATGACCGCTTATGTGTTACTGGTTCCATGGACAAGACAGCGAAGTTATGGCATATCGAAACTGACAAAATGCATTTTACCATAGGTGGCATGCTAAATGGTCATCGCCGTGGAGTTTGGGATGCTCGTTTTTCACCTAGCACTCAGGTTTTGTTTTTCAATGAGTACGAAATTTTACCAGCATATTGTGTGTAAGTGTAGTATTTTATTTTCGGATTTGGAACAAGGCACAAATGTTAGTTTCGTAAGATGTTTATTCATTACTTTGTTTAGGCTGTGATAACGTGTAGTGGTGATTGCATGATTAGAATATTTTCGTTACCAAGTCGAGATTGCATCGCCACATTAACCGGACATCCGTCTGCTGTACTGAATGTAATTCCTTTTTTTCTCCATATTTTTCCTCAAAATGGTAAATTCTTTTCAGATCTTCTTTTGCTAACAAAATTTGTTCTAGAGTTTAAGATTTTGCTCTATCATTTTTCAGGGAGTTATAGTAAATAGTGGAAAGCAGATAATATCTGCGGATAGCGGTGGTTTACTTAAAATATGGGATATTGCTACCAATGAATGCATCACAACAATGGAAGCTCATGATGAGAAAATATGGGCTTTACAAGTAGCTAATAACGAAAGCCGATTTGTTACGGGTATTCCTTCAAAATTTTAACATATTTTTGTATTCTCTTATCTGTCCTATTCGCGCTGTAAAAATGTCCTTACTCACTGGATTATTTTACTGGGCTTTGCAGGATTTGATTGATTTCTTGAACTTTCTAGTGATTCTCTTTTATTTTTTCTTTTGAAAAATCCTATCAATCTGAGATTTTTAGCAAGCAGTGATGGACGTATAAGAATCTGGGAAGATATTTCTGAAAAAAAACGCGAAGAGGAAGAACGTAATCGAGCAGAAAAAGCGCACAATGAGCAAATTCTGACAAATCTTATGCAACAGAATCATTACGCCGAAGCTTTAGCTTTTTCATTGACATTGGCGAGACCGTACAGGTATTCAGAATCTATAATCTGCACAAATAAACTGTTCAAACTGAATCAACAGAAACAATATGCTATGTTCTATTTTATTATCTTCATCTGAAGGGGAAAATTACGTATTTTTTTAGGATGTTTTCACTTAAGTATGAAATGTCTTTCGAATCCTCTTTTTTTTCATGAGATAAACTTATTTTCGAAGAATCTCATTTTATTCCTTTTGGTAGCTTCCAAGTAAGTTTCAAGAGACAGGTTCGAGAAAATTCGCATTTCAAAATTACGTGCGTTTCAAGCGTAGATTAACGAATACGAGTAGTCGTATTATGTTACTGGAATATGCGCTTTCTAGCTTGATGATTCATTTTATTTTTTGTAGTTGTTTGAAAATAATACGGGAAATGATGGAGCTAAAATCAGATGAACTACATAGTGCAGTCAAAAAATTGCGGAGAGAAGAGTTAGTGGTACTATTGGATTTCGCCTCACAGTGGAATACAAATAGTCGAACAGCAGATGTGAGTATTTTATCAACTAGAATTTTATCAACTAGCAACTATTGTTCAGTTTTTCTTTATTATTTCGCTCACTTTTCTTTTAATTTTTAAGTTGAAAAAAATTCTGTCAGAAAAGTACATGGCAAAGAATGAAAAAAGAAAAACAAGCTTGCTTTTTAAATGATATCTCTCTTATATATGAATGAAAGGCATAAAATAAGAAAATCGCTGTTTGGTGGAGAATCGTAATAATACAAATAAATGCATTTAACGCTTGAAATTTTTAATGTTTGCTTTTAGATTGCTCAATTAGTACTCTATTACGTTTTGCATTCATTCTCTCCCGAGGAGTTATTAAAAATGCCTAATTTTGCTTCATTGATAGAAGCATATATTCCATACACTATCAGGTATATTATGTAATTTTATTCCAGATCTTATAAAAGTTTTGGAGAAATTTGAATTACAAATATTTTTGGTCGTACCTTAAGAAACAAATTTGTAGGCATTTCGATCGAATAACAAGAGCTCGACAAAATGCTGCATTTCTGAACTACACTTTAGCGCAAATGACGCTTTCAAATTTATAGATGATTTTTGTTACATTCTTAATAATAATAACAGAATTAAATTGTTGAAAATATTTTGCTTGTTTATTTTTACTAGTTGATCTCTTTAAATATGGTAACTGTGACTGCATGTTATTGTTGTTATTGATTTGTTGGAAACATTGAACTGCTCTTCATTTTCAATAAAATCCATTTTGCAAATTATTGTTTGGCGTTATTATGTGTCGTTTGATACGGTTATTATTATTATATTTTTATCTGATTTCATATACGTCATTTTTGGAATCTGTTAGGGAATGTGGGCTAAATGCGAAGTTTGAATTGAGCGATAATGTCGTTCTGTTTTTATTTCAAAGGTTATGGAAGGAACGGTTGTTGAAGCTGATTTACCGATAGAGGCAGTCGAAGATGATGAGATGCCAGGTTTGGTAGAAACAATCCCTATAGATTTTGTTACCTTACCTGAGCAGGTACAAAACGGAGATATTTCATCGACAGAAGAACAGTTTAGCGTGGTGAGCTTGCTTTGTTTAAGAATTTGAAGTAATGCTTCCAAGTTTTCTAATTCAGTCAATGTGCTCCCGTTACCCGGTAAGATTTTTCAATTAAACGGGTTTTTTAAATAAACTCGTTTAGTCGTTTGGTGTGTGGTCGGATACTTTCCTTTTTTGCAGAATTTTGCTCAAATTGTCTGAAGATTGTCAGAAATTGTGTACTTTGCGTATCTTTTGATTTGTTACTAAGCATAGTATAATGATTTACCTTAGTAGTTGCCGATAACTTCAATCGATATTCAGTAGTATTAATGAAAACATTGAGCTAAAGAAGTAACCAGCAAAAATCAACAAGATATATTACTAGAAGAATATATTAAAATACCAATAGGATATATTACGAAAAGAATACATTAAAATATTTTAACTGGAATGTGTGTTTAATTTTTCCTGTGTTGTAAAATTAAGAATTTAAATATCTATTAGCAATATTAAACAAGAATAACATGACACAACATGAAAGAAGTGAAAAAGATGGTCCCCATTTACTGTGAAAGAGTGAGCACTCACTTTGAAGTGTTCACTTTTTCATTTTTTACCAAAGTGCACTTTCCGCAACACAACACAAAGTGTTATGGCGATACACGCAACTGTTGCGTTTTATCGCCAACAATCGCATAAAAATGCGTTGGTTAAATTTTATTGCTTTTGGTATATTTTTGCAATTGGTTCTACAAAAAAAGAATGTCGGGAAGGAAGACCTACCGCATTGAAACATTAGACACAAATTCTAATGGCACTCATATATAATATTCCTTCTTTCATTTCTTCCTCTTTCTCTCTTTCTATATGAACCTTCAATACAGGCGGAGAGATAGCAAAAATGCCATTAAAAATTTTTTTTAATCAAATGGTCGGTAGCTTTTGACTGTGTTTTTTGTTTAATATCTATGTATGTATATGCCTATGATATTTTTTTTGTATTCTATAAAGACCGCTTGCAGCGAGTAAATAATGCTTGTTATATTAATTTATTGCTAGAAAAGAATGAGATCAAAGAGGCAAGATATTAAAGTGGATGCGAATTAATTTCCACCTTTCGTAATTAACTGATTGCAATAAATTTCATTTCCTATGGTTATTTAATAAATTATTAATACATCTTTCTTTTCCTTAATTTGCATATGTAAATAACTAGATCTCAGTGAATGATATCTCTTCATCAATATTGTCTGCTTGCTTTCCACTGACCATTACTGTTACATTCGTTCTTCTAATGGGCTAATTGATAGTGTCATTTTTCTAATAATGAATCAATTTTTTGAAGTCAGAAAAATCTGTTTCTAGATGATGGTGGCGTTAATTCAGACTATCAAGTTCTTTACTTTTACTTCCTATTTCCTTTATTGAGTGCTAAGAAATTTTCCTTTCCTTTATATACCAAATTCCATAACTTCCATCTATTATTACTTGGCATAACTAATTTTTGCACATATCGACCAGTGAAGTAATGACTAATTAAGCAACAGATTATGTGTAATGAGAAGCAGGTGGACCAATTTCACCAATCATTAAAAATCTCTTAGACTATCATACGTCTCTTTCAAATTTAATTCGCCGTATCGATTGAGGAAGAGAAAAAGTTACATTCATGACATTCATGATTTTTCGTTGCTTTGTCGAAGTTTGGTTTATAGAAGTAACATCAACAATTTTGCATAAACTTCATAGACTTTGTGGTTATTTCTTTTATTATTCCTATTCAGGTACAAAGAAGAAAAAGAAATCATAACGATGTTCAGATGGCAGCAGAAGAACTTGAAATTAATGCTACAGAACAAACACACCACAAGAAACATAGGAGTATTACAAATGCTGAGGTACGTAAAGTTCCAGTACCACCGCATCGCTACTCACCGCTGAAAGAGCATTGGGTAAAAATTGTTTTACCCGTCGTCAAGCAGTTACATCTGCAAATAAGGTACTTCTTTATCTTTGTCAGTAATTTTTTTGGTTAACTTAAATTTAATAAATTTTTTTTATAAAAATAGAAGTTGCTTATTTTGTATCTCATTCAATCATAATGCTAACTCTCACTGACCACACAACTTTTTCATGTTTGATATTTTCATTTAAATATATTGTCTAGAAAAATTTCTCATCCCTTATTCTTTCACCATAATAATGTTTGTTTGTTTCACTGCGTAAATATTTGTCAACCATTCGATTTAAAATTCAAATCGCATTAAGTTTCGTTGAAGACATTCACTTTATAATTGCATTTTATTTTTTGACAGATAAACACAAAATTTTTTATAGGTTTAACCTGAAATCGCGAAATGTGGAAATTCGTACATCTAATGAGGTCGATGATCTTACACATTTGCAAAAGGCTAGTTGCTTTTGCCAAAAAATATTATGTCAAATAAAAAAGTTGCTTTTTTGCAAAACGTGATTTCATATGTTTGTATTTTCAGGCTGAGGATTTCATCCGTGCTTTTGTTCTGGGTTTCGATGTTGATGATGCGTTGGCTTTAATTAGGCTGGATCATTTATTCTTAGAAAGTTTCGAAATTAATGATGTTAAGCCACTGAAGGGGGAGCACTTGTCACGTGCTATTGGACGAATTGCTGGAAAAGATGGACGAACTAAATTTACAATTGAAAACATAACTAAGGTTGTAGTAATTTTAATAAGATATGAATATAATTTTAATAAGATATTAATAAGAATATGTAAGCAATAGTAAAGTACTATGGTAATTTGGGCATTGATTTTCATATCTCAGTAGGAATTCGCTAGTTTAATCTCGTAATTATTCGTTTTGTAACTTAAGTGGAATTATGTTACAGACTCGTATTGTGCTTGCCAACAGCAAAATCCATCTGCTTGGTGCTTACCAAAATATTCGGATAGCCAGAAATGCAATTTCTTCTTTGATCATGGGTATTCTTTTTTCAAAATGTTTATGTTTTTGAAAAATATTTTAGATGCTAAGTCTCATTTCCCATTTTGTTACGCACAAAATCTAATAAGATATTCAGTGAAGAAATAAGAGGTTTTTTGATTCGCCTTGATCTGCAAACCGTGAAGTAAATATGAAGTACATATGTAAATTATGTTTTAGGTAGTCCACCATCAAAAGTATATGGTAATTTACGAAATCTTGCAAGTCGAGCAAGCGAACGCTTATGATTTCTTATAATCTCTTTATTAATCTGTTTTGTTCCTTTCTCTTTGTCATATGAAAGTTTATTGAATTGAATTGGTAAAGAAATTAAAGAAAAAGTTAAGAAACTGAGTTTCTGAATTTTGAAATGCTAAACAGGGAATGACATCGTCAACAAAGAATCACTAATAAAACAAACGGTTAATATTATAGACGCTAGAGCACGTCAGGCGAAATGGCATGGAGTAACCTTTACCAGTTTTACTGTGCACTTATAATCTCAAGCGAGGTGCCCGATGCTTCGTTTGAAATAAAAATCAGTGAAATCAAGAATCTGATTTTTAAAATTTTACTAATTATTGTGAAAAGCATTAGGGCAACTTGCTTTGTTTATTGGCCTGAGATGAGGCCAGTTCGACCCGATTTCTTACAAAAGCAATTCAGTGGAAGAAGACATAGGCTAATGGATTCATTGATGTTAAGAAATTTGTTCAAGTTTTAATTTTGAGTGAGGAAAATCCCGTTGCCTATCCTTCGTAGCTGAAAAAAGCCACAAGTAAATTAGGAGATTTGTTCAAAAAAATGAACTGGCCAAAGAATATTGGAACAAAGAATATAACAAGTTTAAAGAGCTATTAGTCTATCGTTTATGTTTATAATATAAGCGTGGCATAAATTACATGCTAATTTGTATGGTGATATACTGATAACTTAGCTGTTTAAGATGTAATAATACACGAGAAGAAAAGGTCTTCTCAAGGTGCTGACAGGAACGGTAATGTTGGTGTGTATGGTAACATGGGAGCAAACTGGAACGGTATTGGGTTCATCATATGATGATAGTTTAAAGACATAAAGCGTAAATCGATATTGTCCATTGGTGACATGAACCTGGAAAATCTGAATATGAATAAAAGTTATTAACGGTCGGTTTTTTGGTGGAGTCATACTTTTTAAATGGTCCTCTGGTAAGAGATAAATTTTTTTGGATTGCGTGAACATGCTGCCTAGGTCCAACCAGAGATTCATCAATCCCGTGCTTTTTTACTTATTCAACAGGTAGTGTCAGGCTTAGATACTTCAACCACTTTAATTGCACTTGCATCTTCGTCATCTATGTTGATTTTCAGTTAATAGAATTTACAAATTTGTTGAAATATTTGACATTTCATTCTTATTGATTGTCACAAACCATCTTTCCTTTCCTTTGTGTCCTTTTTGGCTGTTGTAAGTTAGAAATTCCAGACTTACATTGGTGGTGTCGGTAGTATCGCAGTTGGCTGGAAAATTATTGGGATCGGTGGTCCAGGTTCCATAATTTGTGGTTTTGGGAATACTGGTAGAAGCGGTGGTACACGCACTGGTTCTTCTATTTTTCTATTATTATCTGGTACAGTAAATCGCTCTGAAGAAAATAGATCGTAAATATCGGTAAATTTAAAAATATATCGAATAAGCTCTATCTTTAAACTGATAATATACCTCATTTCTTTAAAGCTCTTTTCTTGGATGATAAATCATTAAAACCTTGTTCAGTTTCCGAATTTGATTGCTCCATGATTAAATTGTTTGTACCAATATTTGTTGTTGTTGTTGTAGTCGTTGTAACCGCAAGGGTAACAGCGGCAACAGTAGTATTAAGCTGAGCTTTTCGCTGCTTCTGTTGATCCCGTCGTAGTTTTATTTGACGGGCCATCAGTGTTCGACGATTTTCAACCAAACCACACTAAAAGTAATTTGCAGATTCATCATTTTTTTTTGCACCTTTCAAACTCATATGTTAAACAGTAAATAATCCTCGATTTAAAAAAGAAAAAATCGATATAATCCTATCACTGTATCTTCTGATCACAATATACATATTCTATTGAAAATTTAAATTTTTCTCATTTCATTTTACCATTTTGAATAAATTTCCAGATTCATCTTCATTTTTAATTTGAATTCATGAAACAAAACTAAAATATTATGTTTTTTTAATTAAAATTCCGATGTAAGAGATTGTATTGAATTAGTTGCTGAACAAACAATATTGTCCTCTTTCTCTTCACTCGGCAACCGATGCTTTATCAAGCAAAAATAATGAGTGATAGATAGATGATAAGAAAAGGCGAACCAGATGACATCCACACTTTAAAAATGGACACTGCGCTTTTTTGTGTCCTCTGAGCGGTTGTTTATTGCCATGTGCAGAACATAATGCGCATTTCGGATCGCGTATCTTTTTACCCGTTGTTGAACGATTTGCTGCATGATTAGGATCTAATCGTCTCAAACTTAACATATTATTCAATCGTCGTCGCTCTTCCACCATACGACAATCGGCGCATTCACAATTCGCATATCTGAATGGAATTATTTATTTACTTCAAGTGAAATTAATTTTTGAAAATATTATTCTTTTAAAATCTACAAATTTTCCTGGGAAGATGATATTAGATTAGAGAAAATTGATGAATTCAAAAGTTTTATATTGAATGAGAATTGTTTTTAAAGATGGTACCAGGATGACATGATAATGATAAATGAATGATTACCATAGGTGATAATACGATAATTCTAAAATGAACTGTAAATAGTCAAGAAATTTTTTGTGCTTGAAAAAATCATAGATTTTTTTGGGATACACCTGAAAATGAATTCATAGTTTGGAGAAATATTGGCTTAAATACTAATTTTTGATGATGCATAAAAGAGGAAGCATAGCATTTAAGGATTCAATTCAATGGTAAATATGGCTCAAAAAATGTTGAAAGAGACAAAAAAGAGATTCTCATAATTCTTCAATTTAAATCCATATTTTCTTGAAAGAAAAAAAGGGAAGAATAAGTTAGAGAAAGAGAAACAAAAATAAACGTTGATAACGTGCTGGCAATAAGGTTTGTGCCCTTTTCGAGGATGTTCCTGAGCATGATTTAAACATCGTTGACAAAAATATCGCTTCTGATCATCCTCATTCACTGGTTGTGGACGAGGTGTAAAAGCGACAACATCAACTTCTGGTGTGCTACACGATGAATAACAACCGGAACTACTATTCCGACTACTCCCTGGTGATGTACCTGAAATTATAATAATATTAAAATAGTAAAATGAATTCGAATATATCAATAATATATTATTTTCTTTTTAGTAAATTTTAGCACGAATACTTGCAAAATTTAGAGTTCATTTTTAAAACATTTTTTAGCAAATTTAAAAATTACCTAAAATCATCAATTTGTAAAATGATTACTTCAAGTATATATTTGAAATACAAGAGAAAATATCATTTATTTTGTATTGAATCAATTGCTACAGAATAATGTAATGTGTTTAGTTTTATGTTAACAAATCCAATAAAATGTTCATGCAAAAACAAAAAGAAAATTACAGACACTCATAAATAAGTAATTTGGTTGAATTCAAACAAAAAACTAATTTCTATTTATTTTGATTTCATTTTTTAATTGTAATTTCAAGTGATAAGAAAGGTAACAATGTTCACTTCAATCATACTACCTTTTCTATCTATAAATGAAATGAAAGAGGAACGTCATCGAAGATGTACATCACGTGTTCCATCATTCCATTTAGATGCATTTGTTCGATTTTATTTTACAAAAAAGAACTTTTTTCCGGTAGCTCAAATTATTTTATTTCAGTTTATTCAGCTATTGAAATTTTCTCGTTAATGTTTGCAATCTATGGAATAGAAGTGGGAAAAAAATTTTGACATGAAATCAATAATTCAAAAATATGGCAATTGATTGAGATACCTTGCATATATATATATTGTTTCTTTTATCAGTTAGTTATCATTGAAATAAGCAGGCAAAATTTTCCACACTGTTTTTTAAATTTAGTCAAATTGTATTTTTTCTACTTCAATGACTATTTGTTTGATGATAATTTGAAATGCCAGGCCTAATCTAACATTTCTGTGCAATAAAAATGCCTGTAGCAAAATCCTTCCAAGTCTCTTTTTTTTTTGTTTTTGGTGGTCATAGCAACGGATAAAATAGGCTTGACAAAGAAACCGCCAATGGAAAAAATGAAATTTGTTGTGGCAGATGTAAATCAACTTTTTCTTGAATTTTCTGATCATAAATTTTTGACAGAATATCCTGTTGATATTTATGGATCACCTTATTTAACTGGAAAAAGCAAAAGCCTTCCAGTTACAGATAGGCATTTGGATATTGCATGATTTATGAATGAGAGGAAATAAAACGATCCTTCTGAAAAGAGAAATTCGGTAAATAAACATTTCACTATTTTGGAAATAAAAATTTTCTTGCTATTGCAAATGAAAATAGAATGAAAGAGAAAAATGTTTAAATTAAATCTTTTAAAAAAAATTTTTTTGCAAGATATTAACTATTGCTGAAATGATGTCAAATGACAAAATTTCATTCTCAATTTTATAATTAAGCTTTTATCAAATTGAAATTATTGTTTGTATTGAATTATTCAATTTGACAGATTTTAAAATAAGCAAATCGATGGAATAGATTGCATATATCATCATTATAAGATTGCTAGGCTACTCTTTTTGATAATAAAAACAAAGTCATTTATGAAATTAAGTATATGATGACTTCATGTTAGATATAACAATTTCATTTTATATTTCCCTTGAGAACGACGTTTCTTTCTCTTTCAATTTGTTTTGAAGATTTTTAAAATGTATAATTATAGTAAGAACTTGAAGAAATTAATTATAAAAAGTAGTAATGAGGATAAATAAATACAAAAATGTTTCAGTATTAGTCATGTAGAGCTATTTACCGTATTGGGAATTCAGAATAAGTATAGATAGAGCTATTTCTATTTACATTATCGGATTTAAGTATATCGAATTCAGAATAATGCCAGGTATTTACAATATGCTAATAGTCTACTCTAAATTCCGAAGAAACCATCTGAAGATTTTACTCATTGCTTAACTTAAAAGCAAATGATACAGTAACAAATCAATTAAATTTTGCATTGATGGATTAATAACAAATGCTAAGTATTAAAATATGTCAAACAAAGTTTTAAATCTTTTGTCGTAACAAAGTGAATTGTTGAGATTTTATTTTTCTAAGGAAGCTAAATTCAAGGTCATAGTAATTTTTCGCAGTATCTGATGAGATATTCGGAATAATCAATTAGGAATTTACGGAGGAGGATAAAATATAAAATATCTGATAGAGGGGGATAGAATATAGAATATCTGATAGAGGGGGAGAAAATATAAAATATCTGATAGGCGAAGATAAAATATAGAATATCTAATAGAGGAGGATAAAATATAAAATATCTGTTTGCATGGTAAATTGAACTATTGTTCATTTGCTTGATAAAATTGGAATTAAATTATAAGTCAGAATGAAATTATAGTATGTATTTACATTCAAATATTGAAAACACAATTTATACGTTTCATGATAAGATTGAATTATTCCTATAATTCTTTTTGTCATTCCTTTTCCCGAATCGTTTCTTCTCCGAGACAAATATTATTAAGTTTGCTGTATCAGTCGCACTTATTTTATGGTTAATTACTTTATTGAATAGTTATAAAATAGTTCAGAGTTGCAAAATATTGCAGTTTCCTGATGACTAACTTTGATTATTTTCCTTTTCGTCCATGATGAACAGTTACTGTTTCGAGGATTCCGAGGGAAATTATTTGGTTGACACATTCAGTGTTGCAAAATGAGTGAGGATGAAATTGAAAATATTATTCGTTGCAGCAATGTTCATCAAATTCGGAGTAGTATCATATGTAGGATATATAGTTGAATGATTGATGATAAAATTTATGAAACTTCAGAGTATTTCCTTCCAGTGGGAATAGCTTCTGGATTATGAGCTCTAGGAATGATATCAGGGTACATAGAACGCGGGAATGATGGTGACGAAGAATGAAATGATTAAAGGGAAGCTGCAGCTCCGCCTCAAAACAAAAATGAAACTGGAACGACCACCCCCAACGGTGTCTTTGAAGTTGCTTTGATGTAGTTTTCCCGACTGTTCCTGCTCTTTTCCTGCAACACGATCATGTAACATTTGATGATAATAATGATGATGATGATAATATGGTGATGATGATGACGATGATGAAAGGTGATGATAATGGTGTTACAAGATGACGATGATGATAATTAAAGATGATGATGAGAGGTGATGATGATGGTGATGCGAGTGATGATGATGAGAGATGATAATAATGATAATTAGAAGTGATGATAATAATGATGATGAAAAGCGATATTCAATATTCTGACCGACAGGATACGGTCAGAGATATCTACACATGAAATTAGATGGGGCGAAGAATGATTTAGGCCAAGGGCAAAAATTTACTTGTATCTATCTGTATGTACCTACAATGTAATTGCTCTTGAATTCGTAAATGCCAATTTTTTGTGTTGGCTCTTCCTGTATCTTTTATCTTTTTATTCTTGGTTCTTGTACCTTGTACCTCCATGTCTTGGCTCTTGTACCTTGTACCCTTATGTCTTGGCTCTTGTATCTTGTATCTGTCACTCTTGGCTCTTGTGCCTTGTACCTGTCATGTTTTTGGCTCTTATACTCAATACAAAATTATTGTGCAATAAAAATTTTTAACATTTTAACTGCAACTATCTGGTCATTATGTAACTTTACCATATGTTTTTCTCATTCCTCACAATTTTCAAAGCAAACATTTTTGTAGCAATTGTGATCCATCCTTTGAATTCAATTATTTTTAATAGAATGTAACAAAAGAAAGGACAATTTATAATAATAATTAAATGTATGAACAAATGAGATAGGAAGAAATTTATAAATGTCGCATAACGCTTACCATTTTGTTCTTCTGAAATGATAAGCATTGCATTAAGTATTTTAATGTAAGTGATAAAATACATCTTAATGTCTCATTTTAAATGTCAAATTCCGAAATAAACTATTATATTTCACGATAGATTTTCCATGTGAAGCATTTATGGTTGCAATTTTGCATAACAGTTAATTGTTGGTATACATGTACTGCAATGATTTTGCTGCAAAAAAAGCTTCTCCTGAATAAATGAATTTTATGTAAGTTAAAATGCAAACAACCTTTTGATGAATAAATTTTATTGGAAGTTGGCAGATCATGCAGTAGATATGCATGAAAAATGCATGTAAGATTACTTGAATTAATAACAAACAAATAGATGAATGAATTAATTGTGCACTAAATATGAAATTCTTAGCCACTTTATTTAATATATCAAAACATGTCAAACTTACAAATTATGCAAATTGAACTTAAAAAGAGAAAAATTAAAGAAAGAAGAAATAGGCGGTGATTTTGTAGTACATTAGGAATCAGTGATAATAAATGTGCGGAAGTCTTTCTTGATTATTCTTCGAATATCATTTATCTCCTTTCATTCTTTTTATTAAAATTTTTTTACATCAACAATACACTATCATCATATATAAATATTTTGTGTTTTATATTAATTAATCAAATTTTGAAATCAAGTAAACGGATAAAAGATTATCCTGCTTGATAACGAATGAAATGATATGTGATACTTAATCTGATAAAAAATCATTCATTGCGTTTGAATAAATTCATTGCTATTCCTTTCTAATCAATAATAATAGATGAGAGAAAATGAATATAACTTCGATAATTGTTAGAATGAATCAAAGTTTGAAGTTTTAATGATAAAAAAAAGAAATGAAAACATTTTGTTAAAATTAATCGTTCGCACTATTCTTTGCATATAAAGTTATAATTCATACCTGTCATCTCTTCCGGAAACTTTGCAAAGTAAATATGTATTGGCTTCCCTCTTTCAATCATTCAATCATTTTATCGAAATTTTTTTCACCTTTTAAATTTCCATTTTATAAAATAACTCTGTTCTTGTGGAAGGATCAGACTTGTGGAGTAACAACGAGAACCAGAAAATTTACAATTTCAAAAAACTTCAAAAGAATTTGCAAAAAAAGCCGCCAAAAATTTTTTGTACGTTTGCTTCTGAATGATTCGTAAATAAAATTTAATTCATTTTTTTCCTTCTATTTCAATTTATCATAAAATGTGTGTAGTCGTTCTTATGATTTGCAAAATGTTATTTCCTTAATGGATAAGTATTTTTTAGAAAGCGCAATAATGCTGCTGAATGGTCAAAAACCATTACGAATGGAATTTTAGTTTTGAATAAGTGGCATTAATTTGAGTGGTTTGAAACATTCTCGAA